CTGTGTATAAATTTACTAATGATATTTCTAAAATTCACACATGACTATCCTTAAATTTATAAGCAATGATATATAAATTCGTAAAATTACTTTAATAATTATTCATTCTTTAATTAGAAATAAACCTATAATCCTTCCATGATATTTCAGTAATTAAATATCTTCAATTGTTATTAATGCCTTTATAAGGTCTATAATTGTCATTTTCCTAATTTCAAAGATGCAAATGAAACAAATAGTTAGATACGGGATGCCTATTTAATTAATTACAAAAGTGAAATTTAAACAGAAATATAACTAAAAGTGTTTTTTTTTTAAAAAAAAAAAGTGACTAGATATACCCATCCTCATACACAACTTGCTAGTATTTATTCCACTTTTTTGTGTGTGTCACCATCATCATTTTGTTAAGATATGACTGAGAAATGTGAGTATTAGGGAAGAGATAAGAGGAATTTTTTGTGGAAAAAAGAAGAGGTATAAGTTTGGAATCTATGTATTAGGGAAGAGATATGCAAGCGCAATAGTACTTGTTTGATTTGCTTATGGATATTCCATACACACTAATTAATTGAAGAATTTAATCCTTTTGTCAAAATCAATTAATTCTAATTAATCAAATTCACTTAATGTTTTTTATTGTATCTTAGAAAATCTGAGTATTGTCATTACCAGCAGGAACTAATTTGTTATTCAGTGAGTTTCTGGTTATAGTAGTGTTTCCTCATTAATACATAATTATTGCTTTAATAATAAAGGAGTTAAAATAAGCATACTAATTAGAAAAAGGCTGAAGCTCTCTCCGTATTTAGTTTACTTACACGCCACCAAGTTTCTCATTTCTCCCAAATATTCCCAATCATGCTATTGCTATCATCCCTGCTGATTCCCATGCTACTCACTAACTTTTTCTTTCTTTTTTCTTTTTTAATTTTTGAGGTTTGAAGTATAAAGTGGGATCCTAAGTTAGATTTTTAAATTTAAAGCTTGGGAGATATTTTTTTTTAAAGTAAATGTCTATTTATTTTTGAAGTGATGAGGTCATTCATGATATATCTCTTATTTTTTATTTTTTTTAAAAAATCTAATCATAAACTTTTGTTAAAATGTATTTTATTATATAAAAAATAAGGAGAATGACCAAAAAAAAAAACTCTACCATGGAATGCAAAAATTATTATTTAGTCTCTAGAAACTTGTTTGGTATTTTGATTTTTGAAAAAATCACATATTTTCCTTAGTGATGATTATGCATTGAGAATTGACTATTTTGATTGAGTTATTAGATAAAACATAATAAAAAAATATTTCTTTCTTTCTGCAAATTTATTTATCTATCAATTACAAGTGCTAAAAATGAGTGACTTTGGAAAATAATTACTTTCTTTGAGCTATTGACTAAAATGAAGCAGAAAATGACAACTTCTTTTTTGCAAATTTGTTATTCATAAGTGGACTAGAAAATGATAACTTTCTTTTTAAAAAATGACTATTTTAGTTACATTTGATTGATAAACAAATTTACAAATAGAAAGTATTCATTTTCTGTTCCTTTTTAATTAATAACCCAGTTAAAGCAGTCATTTTCTAACGTATAATAATCAATAAAGGCAAATATATTATTTTATCAAAAAATCAAAATGATAGATAAATCCTTATAGATTAGATAATAATCATTAAATTTTGCCATATTTAATTATAGTTTGCATATTTTAAGAGTGTTTTTTTTTATTTTTTATAAAAAGATATTTGTTCTCGTATGCCTTCCAATCATATAATTATGAATTTCTTTCCTTCTAATATTCTAACTTCAAATCAAGCAAAGCTTATTGCATAGGAGAAATACTCAAGTAAATTAAATATATCATGTTATTTATAATCTATTCAATTAAAATATTTCAAATAATTTAAATAAAATATTATTTGATATTTTTTAATTAATTTTATTTTTATAACAGAATGCACATTTAATTTTTTATTCTCTCTCTCTATTATCATTAATATCAAAATAATTTATATTTAATGACATCTAAATGTCATTTTTTTATTAAATAGATTATAAATTACGTAGTGCATCTGATCTACCTAAATATTTTTCCATTGCATAGTGTCTAGGCAAGTTATACTGTTCATGACTCTTTAGCAATACATCGTATAAATTTTTTCGGTGTCTTAATTATAAGTTATTTCAAACTATTTTATCAAAATAAAAAAAATCATAAATTGATAATTTTTCATATTTACTCCCGAATCAATACATGAAGGGCCTGCTTTGAAAATACTAAGCAAGAAGGACACTTTTGGAAGAAAAAAATAAAATTAAATATTCAAAAACTCATGAGAAATTATTATCACAAATTCTTTCTATAATGTGATATATATAAATAATCGTAGGAAGCGTTTTTTATTATTCTTACAAATTTTAAAAACTATCACTTGCATTGTTGATCGTGACTTATGTTTCCATTTTTATTATCGCGACTGTATAAGACTATTTTCAACACTTAAACTGTTAATTTTGAGTGTCATATAATTAAAACTAAGGTCTCGTTTGGTTATTAAAAAAGAATAAAATAAAATAAATTAAAAAAATAAAAATAAAAATAAAATGATTAAAAAAGATGTATAAGCACATTTATAAAAAAGAGACAACTTAGTTCATGAATTTAAAAATCATAATTCATGATTTTTTTGATGGTGTGGTCATTTCTACATTTATAATATATATTAATAAATTTTATCATGATTATAATAAAAAAAAGGATAATTTAATTTATTTTTTTAATAATCAAATGGACCTAAAGCTTACAAAAACTATCACAAGTCTCCCACTCACTACCACTTTAGAATGCTTGCAATTGTAAGATTTTGTCTGTTTTAAGTTTTTTCTTAGGCTAGCAAAGACACTAGGTTCTTAAGGATGATTTTTAAATTAATTTTTTTAACTGAAATTAATTTAATTGATGGGTCCTTAATGTCACTTTCCCTTATATTTTTATGTTATTATATATTTTTCAAAAAATAATGTAAAAATTTTCCCAAATTAATAAAAATCAAGTTTGAAGGATTCTTCAAATAGTGAGCTGTTTAAATACTAAATATATGGTCCCCGGCACAAGCTAACACGACATTGTGTTGTCATCTCTCTCTCTCTCTCTCTCTCTCTCTCACATCATCCGTATGATTCCCTTATCTACTCTGTTTTTTTTTTTGGCGAAGTACCAGTAGTATAAAAATTAATTTAAATCTCTTGGTTTAATTTAAAATAGATATACAAAATATATATTAATTAAAAGCAAATATATTAAATATATAAATTTTCCTCTTTATTAAGACCAACTATTTACTTTATTACTGCATTGGCCCACCTTGAGCTGACTTCCCCCCCCCCCCCCCCACAACACACAAACGCATACACACTCTAGTCTATGTACTTTCAGAAAATAATTTCACTAACACTATAGGTTAACCCAGTTAATAATGATTTGATTTATAAAATTTTTTTTAAATTTAAAGACATGCCTGGGACTCAATTTACTTAAGTATTTTTTCTGATAAAAAAAAAGAAAATAACTACGCTGCCTTCATATGAGGCTTTTTTTAATAAACAAGATTAGTATATAAAATTTAATGTGAGTCACAATATCCATCAATTATAAATATTATATTTTTTTATTTAAAAATAAAAGGCACTTTTAATTAAATCTCACCCCAATAAAATAGTTATCTACTTTTAAACTAATCTTATCTTTTCATATTTACTCCTATTAAACATCTTACAATAAATATAAAGTCATTCATCAATAGGGATACTTTTAAAAAAAAGGCAATGATTACATATTAAAAGATTAAAAATATCTTATATTTTTTAACATCTAACTCTTCAAAAAAATGTTTTATATTTTTAAACTAAAGGAGTAGCTTTTATGCATTTTTTATTTTATTTTGATTTTAATGATGTGCGAATCAATTATGATTTAGTAATTAATCCCTTAATAATTCCAATGTTCTAGGGTACAACGGTCTTATTTAGGATCTACCAACATGCACATTCATCCTTTTATTTTATTTTACTTTTAAATAAAAAACCTCATGAAAAGCTCCAATCAGAATCAAATTCCTATCATTGTTTAAAAATTATTTTCATCCCATTTGATGCTTGATTTATTTTTTTGGTACATCATTTGATGCTTGATTTGTTTGATGCTTTATTTTGTTTACAATAGTGATAGAAAAACATTACGAGCCCAAGAAAAACATAGTCTTTTTTATTTATGAACACTGTTCTTGAATTCATAATTGGGTTTGGGCTTTTCATCCTCCCAAACAAGTGCTCTCACACCTCTAAAAGCAGACTTGGTTTCCTTTACAGCTTTGAGGTGTCAAAAACTGCTCTGATACTTTCGTATTTAACATATAAACAAAAACATTTTCCTGGGAATTACACAGAATTTGATTCAATCTCATTCTTTATAACTTATAAGATTAAATATTTGTGACTTATATATGACCCATACAAGGTTTGATTATATACTTCAAAATAACAACCACCACCACCACCAATATCTTATCCTTTTCAATGAAGTTAGCTTTATAAATTATAGGGTGTTATTATGCTTTATCAACAATCAAACTTTTATATATATATTGTTGACTAAAACGTCTCTCGTTCAAAAACTTTATTCAGTATTCCTTTTGGTTAACTTCATTCAACAACTTTATGATGCACTTCAAAGTTCAAAGATTGAGTTTTATAGTCAACAATTAATGAGTGTGTAACTTAACTGATGAGAAGCTTTGCTAACTTAAGGAGGTTTTGATTTTGGGTATTGAATATACAGCTACATTAAATACTTGTTGGAAGAGCTTGCCACTCTTAGGGTTCAACTCAATTGAATCTAAATTAGTCAAAGGTTCAAAGGATCTCAAATATTAGGTGCACATGAAAAAAAAAAAAGGTTTTATAGTCAATAAACCAATTAACGTATGGCTCCAGATGCTTGCATCATGGGAAGAGAGGCCTACGTTCCATTTATTAAGGAGCCAAAAAATAGAGCAAGCAAGTTATAACCTTGCTTTTCCAAAAAAACTTATCAAGTAGAATGCTACAATTTGCCTGCAGTAGCACAACTCATCAGTCTAAAGGAGAGTTTTATCAACCCCAAGTTTTAGGTTTGATAAAATGACATCGCCATGCTCTTGAGTAGGCTGTTGAATTGCAATGTTTACCAAGCCTGTTTATATTTCAGCAATGTTTACCAGGACATGTTTCTTACGGATTTGCTTATAATTTTCATAACTAGGTTGAATTTACAGCAATGTGGAACTCCGCCCAACTAAATGCCTTCTGCTTTTGAATCTGTCTCTCTTTCATCTTCTCCCTCAATTCATTCACACTGGTCCATCTTCCCTTCTCACCTTGGATCTTTGCAAGCAAAGTGTAAGATGCAGAATGATTCTTCTGCAACTCACGCATCTTCTGAGCAGCAATCTCTCCAAGTTCTACATTTGAGTGCAGCACACAGGCTCCCAGTAATGCACCCCACAACACCACATCAGGCTCAAATGGCATGTTCTTGATTATTTCTTCTGCTTTATCTAATTGCCCAGATCTTCCGTACAGGTCCACCATACAAGTGTAGTGTTCCATCTCTGTTTGAATTCCATGCTTTCTCTGCATAGCAATGAAGTGCTTCTCACCTTCTTCAACCAGACCTGCATGTACACATGCAGATAACACATTTACATGTGTAATTTTGTTAGGTGTAAAACCAGCCTCCATCATCCTGTTAAATTCTTCGAGTGCTCGGTTTGCGAGTCCATGCCTGGCATAGCCGCCTATTATTGAATTCCACGAAGCTAGATTCTTTCTGGTAATGGACTCAAAAACACGGAATGCTGCATCCATATGGCCACATTTGGCATACATGTCAACTAGTGAGGTTGAGATGATGACATCATCTGGTATGCCAGATTTGATGAAACTCTGATGAATTTGCTGTCCCATGAGAAGAGAAGAACAATCTGCACATGCGTCTAACACACTTGAAATTGTGAAATGGTTGGGGCGATTCCCTGATTTTAACATCAAAATGAACAGTTCCAATGCTTCCACAGATCTTAAACTTTGCACATACCCACTGATCATAGCAGTCCACGTCACCACATTTCTCTCTTTCATTTCATTGAATATGGATCGTGCTTTATCAATTTGCTTGTTCCGGATATAACCATTTACCAAAGTAGTCCAAGAAATAATATCTTTTTGAGGCGTCAAATCGAAAGCTCTCTGAGCATCAGCCATGCTCCCAACTTCCATGTACCCAGAAACCAAAGCGTTCCAGCAAGCAACATTTTTTGTCAATAACTCATCGAACACTCTACCCATAGCCTTCTTCTCTCCTAGACTCGCATATGCATTGATTAGAGAAGATCCAACAACTACATCCAGGTTAAGGGCCATACGGACAGCTCGAGCGTGAATCTGCTGGACCAAAACATCGAAATCAGTATTCACAACTGCTCTAAGTAATGCGGATATGGTATAGTCACTGGGTGCTACACTAACTCGTCCCATTTGTAAGAAACTTTGGTATAAACCACGAACGTTTCCAGTTTTCCGAAATCCAGATAACATAATATTCCACGAAACGACATCTTTGGCGGGCATTTTGTCGAACAGATTCTTGGCAAGATGAAATTGATTGCGCTGAACGTAGCTGCTCATCATCATGTTCCAAGAAACGCAGCTCCGGGATGCGATGTTTTCGTCGAATAGCTTACGAGCTTCGTCAATGTTATTGTTGCGCAGGCAAGTATCAAACTTTGAGCTTAGTTCGGCCGCTGAAACCGTACAAAAGTGGTGAGAAATTCTCGACGAGAAGAATCTGGTTAAGGCCTGCATCTCTCTCATACGTTGGTGAAGCTTGATACTTTGTTCTACGAAGGGTCAAGAAAACCCATGAGCAAGCAGATAAGGAAACGTCAGATAAAATTTGAGAAGAGTTGGAAATTGGAGTGAAACTGAAGTTAGTTTTTCTTTCAGAGGGAGAGACCGCATGTACTTGGCGGCAAGACCGGATGCATTTCTTCCATCGGAATCTTTTTTTTTTTTTTAATTTTGAAAAAAGAAAGTCAATCTGAATTCTGACCAATTAATTTAGAGATTTTAACCATGTAATTTCATAATTTAAAAAAAAATTTAAGAGTTTGTTTTCTTCCTTTTTCTCCCGTCATCCATGTTATGATGTCAGCGTAATATTTTCTTTTTCATTTATCTATATATCTCCTAATGTATAATTCCAATATCCATGTTAACATATTTTAATGATCTGATATTGTCTCCTTTTAAATATTAAGGATTAAGGCTTACTTAGTAACTATTATATCATAAAAATTAAATTTAAGAAATTAAATGGATTAATAAAAAGGACTAGCAGTTTTACTATCATATTTTCAAATACAATTTTATAAATTTCTTGCTTTGTAAAATGTAGTCCAAATAGTCTTCGTCTCAGGTTCCCATCGCTGGCGGGAAATTCCTCTCTTCATCTTCATCCTCTTACCATTTGAAAATATTTTATTACGATCTCTCAGTAACAGTATGCCTCGCCCATGCTGTTTCGGCCGACACTTTAACCCTTCACTTTTCTAAGCATTCATACTGCTTTTATTTTATTTAGAAAAAAAAAAATAACAGGTGAGAATTACAGGCATTGGATTATTATTATCAAAAATTATTTAAAGCGGTCCAAAAAATATATTTGCACATGCGTTTTATTTCCTATAAAAACAAATTATTGGATTAAAAATGAGGGGCACAGGCAAGAATACGTATATTCCCTCAATAGTTCTTTAAGATACATAAGACCCAAGGGGGGAAATCTTGAAGATCAATCAAACCAGTTTCTCGTACATCAATGCTGAAATATACATCAAGAAACACAACTCATATCCCAAAGCATTTTAAAAGATAATTGGCATCTTCATAGCGAGATTTTGGGCCCAAGAAAAACCTACTCTTTTTTAATGAACATTCTCCTGAATTCATCATTGGATTTGGGCTTTTCATCCTCTTCAGAATTGGGCTTATTCGAAGCCCAACCAAGTGCTCTCACATTTCTAGGCACTGCGAAAGTGTTCTTCCCCCTGATCTGTATGTTGTCACCCCCAGGCTTTCCAGTACCAGACTTGGCTTCCTTCGAGGTATCATCACTTTCTTTGGATGCGGAACCTGCTTGACCAGATCGATCAGTGCTACGTCCTGCATGATTGAGTTCAAGTGAGACAGACATTATGTGATAAGAACATAAGCACACGTGTTAATACATATTTGATACACGAAAAAATATTTTCTAGGAAGAATATGAAAAATGTATATCTCCCATTTTCTTTTTAAAAACCCTTTTCTACCAACCAAACATTGCGTGAATATATAAGCCAGACAAGTAAACGAAAGAGCATGATTATATTTGAGGAATAGAGTTTAAAGCTTGATGATGTGCATGTCAAAGCACTTACGATGCATTAAGGCTCAATCCAAATTAGTCACAGTTATTCATACTTCACTAACATTTACCATTAAAAACCCTCAAATTCACCTAAACGTCATGTTCATTACTAAAGTAGTTACTGCCATATATTATCAGTTCTCAATAGAAGGCCAACAGAGTTGGAGGGACCAGGTATATTATGAGGATTCACAGGAGTACATGTCCAAAATTTGAACAAAATAAGTTAACACCACTTACTTTGTTCTTTCGAATTTCTCTGACCAAAAGATTCCTTTTTGCCTCGACTTGGATCAGACCGAGCAATACTTAGCTTCTTCCCAAGTAACCTTTGCTTGTTCTTAGCTACTGCTGCTGCAATATGCTCTTCATCCAAAAAATCCACGTAGGCCAGTCCCTTCATCAATGTTTAATTAAACATTTTAGCTGAAAGCCAGACATTGAAGGAGCATTCACCGCCATAATGTAACAAGATCTGTCCCTCTGGTACATAATCATTATGAGCACAATTGAATTTATGTTCAATTTCACCATGCATGGCAATGTACTCCCCTAATGACCTAAGCGACTACTGTCTCTGTACTTTCCTATTTAACTTGTAAAGTAGACAAATTTCACATTTATTCAAGGAACTTGAAGTGAGTCTTACTATTCATGACTTATGAAGAGTATGGTTTACTATAAATTTTATATTTTTTCCATTGATAGTTCAAGCGGAAGGCAATATGTTTCATACAAGGTTTGAAGATGTTACTTCAACGTTTAGATATTAAGTTTTCTAGTCAAACAACTGATTAACGTACGCCGCAAGAATTATTTCCTCCAAAAGGTTGTATTGTTAGAAGAAAGGCCTACATTTATTAGGGCTCCAATAAAATAGAGTGAGCAAGGAATACCCTTGATTTTCCAGTGAACTTGTCATGTAGAATACGAATGGCAACAACACCGCCAACATCACTGAAGAAATCACGAATATGCTCATAATTTGCCTGCAGTAGCACAACTCATCAGTCTGTCACAAACACACACACACACACACAAGAGAAAGAAGGAAGGAGTGTTTCATCTACCGTAAGATTCAGGTTTGATATAAAGACTGTGCGCTGATCTGAGTAGGCCCTGCTTTTTTCAGAGGTAGACTGTTGTCTCATTGCGTCTTCAGATTTGTTAATCTTCTCATTGACCTCTTCCTCTTTTTTTGCCCGTGGAAAGTTCTGCTCTTCACCTTTGTTTTCCTCAGGAACTTTCTTCGAGTTCTTACCAACTTCTTTTCGTCGCTTTGCTGGAGACTGCTCATCAGTTATGTCAGGCTCCAACTTTCTCTTGTCACGAACATTTCTTTTAGGATGATGTTCTTTGTCCTCTATCAACTTGGATTCTTGCTGTATCCTATATAGTTGTAACTCTTCCAGACGAGGGTTAACCTAAAGAAAGGCAGTCCCCACCAAAAAGATTAGCACACCCACTAAAACTAACAGCTATTTTTCTAATGGGGATACCAGTCTACCAAATGATTCACACAGAATATTCCTCACATTTCACCTAAGTCCATGAATTTTTCATAGTTTTAGTGGGTAACTATGTATCTACTTTTGCTTGAACTATGAGTAACACTTAGAAAGCCCTTAACAAATTCGTACACGATTTCTCCCTTTCATTTTTGGCATCTTCTGGTAAAATTGATGACATGAAGAGGATGGCAACGTCTCATTACTGATACATGTCAAATAGTCATTCAATAAAATCTTCAACTTTGAAGAAAGAAAGTTCAAACCAACAAAGAGACAATGCCAGACTTTCAATTACAAGTGAAACTGAAGCTGAAGGGGAAAGAATGTACCTTTTGTAAGGCATGATCATAATCCTCCAAGGAACCAAACTGCCTCTCAAAACGTAACCATGAATGGCATATGTCCTGAATCATTCTGTTTTTCAGGAAGGGAAGGTATCAACTAATCCAAACAGCACTACATAGAAGGAACTATCACCCCTAAAAAATTTCTACAAAGAGCATAAAATGAGAAGCACAGGTCTTTCATCATTCAAATCGAAAGGACCAAAAAATTGGAAGAAACATCTTACTAAATGGCAAGGTATACTGAATTTACTAATTGAATTTTTAGTGTAAAAAATTGTTGGGTAAAAAAAAATTACTATACCTCAGAGCCAGTCCCAGAAAACCTCTTACTGTAGCATCTCTTATATATGGACCTAGCTTCATTTATGTGACCATGTTCAATTTCCATTGTTATATACCCTTTCCACGCCTCCAACATTGAACCACTGCACCAACCAAAAGAAAAAGATAGAAAAGCACGACTTAGCCACTGCCCAAGGGGGGCCAAAAAAAAAAAGAAGAGGAGGCAGAACGAATAAAAAAGTGTTGAGTAATGAGGCAAATGGTTTATATAAATATTATCAGACCATATCTTGACAAGATTCTCCCAGACTCCACGAGCTGCAGTTATATCTTTTCCAAGTTTAGCTTCCAAGTGGGCCCAATAAGCATGTAAACGCACCAAACCCTCTGTATTCTTCAATTGTGGTGACAGGTAATCTGAGGCATGCTGCAAGTGACATAGTTCAGATGCAGGCATGTGCAAAAATAATATCCGCTTTCCATAACCAAGGGGGGAAAATAGCTGGCTCACACAGCTATGAGTTTATTAGTTGGTGGAAAATCACATTCTCACTTGCTAAAGAAATGAAACTATAAGTCTATAGCATGGGCATTGAGCTCCAAAACAAGATATAGTCATGTTCAAATCATGAGATAGTTTCAACCAATTATTTACTTGCTATAAGAATACAGCCAGATAATGTACATGATCGAACTTATGGGTATGAATAGAAAATATAGCAAAATGGGGACAGGCAAAGTCACAAACCTGAAAGGTCTGCCTTATAATTTGATATTCCAAAAGGCCCTCTTCACCAGAACATGCTATTCTCCGCCTTAAGCCATCTACTCGAGTGAGAAATAAATCAAGATACTGAAACAAGAAAGTACAATAAACAGTTCAGGCATTCAAATCAAGAGAAATTTGGAAGAGCGAAAAGGCTATAAAACCATGATTACATTACAGGGCATAATGGGGACAGAGATTGAGGGGGGAACTGAATGTTGTACGTACCTCATCAAGGGTCGAAAAGGTACATTGCAGGGATTTCTCAAAGACCTGAAATTAATGAAAAATTTTCTTTAAACAGGGAAAATGTAAAAAATGCTACCCTTAGAAAAAGCATAATCCACTTCAGACATAGGGTAAACTCAACACAATTTATAGTAAAACTTATGCCCAGAAAGTATTCTTCTCTTATTAAATTATACATCCCACAGAAAAATAACTTCTATTGTTTTCACACGCATTTATATTGTTATCCACTAAGACTCAAAATTAACTGTCTAATATGCAAAGAGAAAACCAACAATGCATGCGACACACTTGAGACTGCAAGAACTTGTTTGTCTTTGATCTCAAGACCAAAGTGACAACTAATCCACTAACCAAGCTTATGAGATTTTCTTCCAACATCCACTGAGCGAATATTTGAAAACTTTAATCTCCACCCCAAAAGACATTAATCTCTGATAGAAACGTCTAAAACTTACTGCTGCTATCTCTTTTTCAGAAGCACGGCCACGCTCCAACGAAAGCAGATATCGAACCCAAAGTTCTCCAACCCATGGACAGTTTCTAGTGGCTCTGGTATAAACATTGGTTACAACATTGCCAACCTAGAGAAAGGGGAAACCAAGAGCAAAACACAGATTAACACCCAGGACTGGAGCTATGGCCTTCATGAAAAACACAAGAACAAATAGAGGTGAAACCTTTAAAGTTTTGTCCAAGTACCAAGTATAATCAAGCCAGAGATCAGATGCTATCGGCAAGTCTGTAACAGCTCGCTCATATAAAACTAAGACTCTGGATGGTGTTCCAGAAGACTGTTCAAATTTCACATAATTCTGTAATACAATAAAGATGTCAATTAAAAGGAATTACAGTTGTTAAAGAACAATAACTGAACAAACCCCCAGAATACACCACAATATAGGAATTTCAGGCTTTGAAGGGTACCATGTAGTGTTGTAATTTTTCTGAGTCAGGATTGTGGCTAGTAATATGTTCTTCAAGATGAACACGGGCTTTGTACATCTCCAATGCCTTTTGATATGAAGAGGCAACATGAGGATGGATCTCAGCTACATCGCTAGACTCCACATCATGAAAATTACCCTGTTCAACCTCCCAAGCCTTATAGGCAATCAATGTTGAACCCATACCAGCAAGGGGAATAGACAACTGCCGGTGGAATAAACTTCGGATTCTTTGAACCTGTTTATCTTTTGCCTGCAATCGAAGAAGTAACTCCAACATGTTACGATAAAGCAATCTATAATTCCACAAAATGCTTGAATATGCTGTATTTAACCCAACACACTATTTCTTTTGGTAAATACCCAGAAATATTTTCCAAATACCACAAGGAACAAGGATCAAACATATGTAGATGTGAGCATGCATGTGACAATGTGTGTGTTCATACTCATCCAATTCTAATAGTAGATCTATGTGAAGATTGGCGCAAAAGTGTCCTGTGTACTTATCTGAACAACTTAAATAGAGAGAACCATGTCAATAAGGAGGAGTAAATGTTCCATTGGTCAGAACGGAAAGGAAAAGTTGGAAATATTAATCCTACACAATCTGTACACAATTAATTTTAATTAGCACTTACGGAGTATTATAAACCCAGTTGATTAACTATAAAAGGAAATAAATATCCTGGTGAATTAATGATTCATTAGGGATTAGGCCCTAAATCAAGAATTCCACACTCTCTAATCTTATCATCTTTTCATAGCCTTTCCTTTAAAATTTGTCTTTGGGGAATAACATCAGCAAAAGCTTTCAAACAGGCACTAATCTAAGCCTTCAATAAATGGTTTAGAATTCTTGATTTATTTTAAAAAAATAATAATACTAAAGTGAGAGTACAACGCTGCTTTCATCTACAAGCCTCTTATATCTCCAATTTATCTCTCATTGTCAAGCTCTAAGTCATTTCCAAGGCTTTTCCTCCCCCTGCCTAATTCCTATCATCAATCTATAGAACAAGCAATAGTTTGCAAATTTGCATCCCCATCCTCAAAACACCGTACCCTAAATTTTAGTCTCTGACTAAATTCCTTGCTGAGCACAACCATTTCAAAGATATTTACCCTCCACCTTCCGAGTTCCAACTTGTCTAAAGAATCAATCTAAGGATATTCTCCTTTATAGCGAAACTTTACATGCAATTGTTTGCATTCAAAAGTAAGTCATATTGCAAAGGATATTCACATCACCAACCAAATATTCAACACTCAACCTTCCTTAAGTAGATAAGGATGATGAGAAAAACTTAAAAACATGTTTATGCTTGGAAATTAAAAAATAAATCCTTTAAAATTGGCCTGTAAAATTTCTAAAAAGGCCAGCTGAAATTCTCATGTTGAATAATACCATCAAGAACTCAAGATAGATCATGTTCCTTAATACAATTAAGGATAATGTTCCAACCTCTATGTCAGTCTCATCAATGGTAAGAAGTATAGCCTGCTCAAATTCCCGATATGCTTCCCATATTTTATTGCCTTCTGTGACATGCAAACCAGCTGCAGTAAGAGCACGCTCAAACAAGTCCCTTGCCTTGGTTATTCCAGCAGGTGAACATTCCCGCACCATCGGATCACACTCTTGGACAAAATTAATGTAATCACACCATAAAGAGACAGACTGCAGTAAAGAATAACCTATTGTGTTAAATTTTGAAGTAAATATCGTACCATAAGTATTAAAAACAACAATACCTGAGGCACAATTGGTACCATGACTTTAAGTGAGAAAACCAGTTCCAGCATCTATACTCTGTATAATTAATGTATTCTAACTAAATTTCTTGAGATACCAGTTCCAAAATCTATACTCAGTATAATTAATGTGCATGCTCGTGTGATCATCATGTCAAAGTGAGAAAACCAAATCCTTTCACAACTTAACATATATAAACAAAACTAGCTATGGAACTACTAAAGGAAAAATTCAAGGAGGTATCATTAATTGCATATATTGAAGATAAAGTAATACTTCGGGAATGCATAACATTAAATATCAACCACGCCAACAGTAGAGAAAAACACCAGCAAATCCTCAAACAAAAGTTGCATTAAGCATCTATTAAAATGCGTAACCAACCAGATATTCGGACACCCCAAGGTCATAAAGCTTCAGAATTGTAGAGTAAGCCTCAGGTCTGCACGGTAGCAAAAAAAATAGCTCAAGAACATATTAATTTGGTAGCATGAAGATTTTATACTGATTATACAAGCAAAGATTAAAAAAGCTCGCAACCCCACACAATAAAATCAAAATTCTGACAACCACCAAGAAAGAAAACTTATATTAGTATGGTAAGGAACATACCCATTATTGAGAGAAGCCTCATCTTTGGTCCATTCCTGCCACATTGCAGGGCTCAATGGAAACAGTTCATTCATAGCTTCCCTTGCCCTTCTCAGCTTTTCAATGTCCCCCATTCTCCTCAGTAGTTTTATATACTGAAAAGAATCATCACCAACCCCAGCCAACATAAACAAACTGCAAAAATGCTTTAAAACAAAAAGATTTTCTTTTTTGTAAAATGACAAGACTTGTAAAAACATGACAAAAACCAGTATAAAACAAGGTTAAAAGCTTGTACATCCAAACAGAGGGAGACGACGAGAGAGTAAAATCAAATTCTGCAACTTTCAAGCCAAGCCCCGCAGCAGAAAACAAGATATCACTTATAGAAAGGAAATCTCTAATTTCCAATTAATTTCTCCTGATAATAGGTATTAAATGGCCAACACAGAGATCAAAACACCATTATCTCCTCAGCAATCAATACCCATAGCAACTGAACAACAAAAATTTGCATTTGCGGACAATAGTTTTAGCCTCTGCTGCGGTTGAATCATTTCTCCACCAATGGTAAATCACAATAATAAACCATTTCGTAGCAGAAATGTCCCCGAAATGTCAGAACGGTTAAAAACATGAAAAAGAAAAAGAAATCCAAAATGTAACCCGGCTTTGAATTTTCCCTTGTATATCATGTAATTTGTTCTCAGATGCTAAATCGAATGCACCATAAGCATAAAAAGAAGGGTTTACTTGCACATGAGCATCATAGTTGGAGGGGTTAGCAGCGAGCTCAGCCTCGAGAGTCTGGAGTTGGAGGTTCTGCTGAGCTTCGTCGTCGGAATCGGACTGAGAATCAGAGGCATCAGACTCAGACTCGGAATCGGAATCGGAAACATCGGGGTTTTCAGCTGCATGACGCATGGGTTCATATTCACCGTTGTTCTTCTCTTCGTCTTCAGCAGCGGCATTAGAAGCTGGCGCTTCGGAAGTTTCTGGCGCTGTGGCTAGGGTTTCGTCCATGGAAATAGAAGGAGGGGACTCTACTATGGGATCTGGCGTGGGCGCAACTAAGCAATGCTTGTGCTTGCGTTTGTACCTTTCAGAGGTTTAACGCCCGTGAAGTTATCGGCCTCGCGCAATATGAAACTTCGAAGTGCAATGGAAAGTCGAAACCGGATCAGGTAAACGGGGCAGAAATTGTCCGGTTGGGATTATTATGGGATTGGGCTTTCTATGTTTTATAGTAGTTGATAGTTATTATGTTTTTGCAATTATCATTTTCATAGTTTTTTTATTATTTCTTAATTCTTATATTCTTTTAAAGTAAAGATAAGGAAAAAAAAACCTTAGAAAATGTCATGAAGATATTCTATTTTATAAAACTCATAGTACTTCAAGTCTTTAAGAATATTGATTAACATCAATATCAATTTATTTGTATAAAATTTTTTATCCCTATAATTTCATTAGGTTTTGTTTTTAGTTTATATAGTTATGAGAACTAAAAATACTTAAAAAAATGAAATTATAAGAACCTAAAAAATAAATTTCACCCAATATTTTTAAAATTATAAAAACTGAAAACATTAAAAAAATATAAAAATTAAGAGCAAAAACTGATAAAAACTATGGGGAATGATGATTATGTTTTTCTTAAAATTTATATATAATTTGTATAAATATAAGGAAAGTCGTATTATTTTTTTATCACAAAAAATGAATTATTTATTATTCATAAATAATCAATGATATGATTAATTTCAAACTTATATAACACATAACACCTAATTTAGTTTAAACAAATTTATAAAAGTAAACAATAAACAATTGCCAGGACAATGTTATTTGGGTGGGGGAATCAATATATAATTTTCTCCCCTCCTTTTTCTCCCACGCCACAGATTTGAAGAAGAGTCTAATTTGGCATCAAGCATGGCTTCATGGCATTCAACTGCAAAATAATACTAGATGCTTGTTTGGATTAGAGTTTGTAAAACTGAAATTTCAATTAAAATTAGGTCTACTGAATTAAAAAATAACAAGGCTTATGTACTTAATTTTACATGCTTAATGTGTTTATATATAATCAAATCAAATTAAGTGAATTTTATTATGTTGATAATATTAAAGGTAAAAATGTTCTGAAATTTTTTCTCCAAAAATGTGGTATCCTAAACTTTTTTTAAAATATTTTTGCCTCAAAAGTTTAAAAAACAAAGAAATTTTGCCCCCACTAAAATTTGTAAATATTGATCGTTAAATTAAAATTTGATCAAAGATATTTTTATATTTTTCTCTACTTCCTTTTATATTTAGTCTTTGATGTCATTCTCCAATAAATTTTTTAAATAATCTTCTTCCAATAAATGAAAACGAAAACAGAAAAATGCATAAACAAATGAGAAAAAAATTGTAAAATACCCTGGTCAAAACTTTACTTAATGGTTAACGTTTTTCATATTTAATGGTGAGATAAAAATACTTCAAAAAAAATTTAGAATGACAACTGCCTCTAAAAAAAAGTTTCAAAGTGTTTTTGCCGTCTAACCTTAATATTAATAACAAAACTTGTTATAAAATAAATAATATATAAAGAATTCATATATCTTCATTATTTTTGGCCAATTATATCTTCATTTAATTGAAAATAAACATATTAAATAAATAAGACTAAAATATATAAATTTCTTCCATTTAAAAATCTTTGCAATATTATTAAGAAACTAAAATAACTACACTAGGAACTAAATATTCTACAAGGCTGACTAGTTGAGTATACTATAATTTGAGAGGTTTCACTCAAACAAATTGTTTGAACTGTTTTATCAATAAAAGGATTTTTCCCTAACTGAAAGTAGCATGAAATTTTTTCAAAAAATATATATACATAAAAAGTAGGCTTTACTAGTAATAAATATTATCTTTCTCGAGATATTGAAAACAAATGGTAGACTTTTTCTAATAAAATTAAGATTCAAACCCTAACCATTTATTTAAATGATGAGAATTATATAATTCTTTTGGTCAATAAACACTGTTAATTAAGACTCATACAATCCCTAACCACATACATTTGATGCAAAATCATCAAGATTGCAGTAATGTTTTTTTTTTTTAAAAAAAAATCATATAGCTTATCCACATGATCAAGTGAAAGCTATGGCGAACAGTTAAATTTAAAAAAAAAAAACAAATTGGATTCTGGGACAGATTTCACATTTCAGCTTTAGAAGCCTTGATTCCCTCCCCAGAAAATCCTTCTTACTTACTCGTTGGTGTAATCACTTTGGTACTGTGATCCTCGTCGACCCACCTTCAAGAAACAGGGCAATCCGAATCTGCATCCTAGGCAACTTGAGTAGAATCAAAGCTTATCTAATATCTAGTAGAAGATGAACATTATGATTTTATCCTTTCATTATCGTTCAATTCAAATAAAGATGACCAAGATTTATTTTACCAACTATTGTAGGCATTTTTCTTCAACAATGGAATGTGCATGATTTCGAGGTGGGAAAATTAATCTATAAGTCTTTATAATTTTACACAATTTTAAATTAAATTTCATAGTTTATTTTATTTTAAATCCTTGGAGTTTGATGATATATTATATATATTAATCCTTGAAAATTAAAATTAATAATGAATTATTAAATTTCACAATATAAAAATACTCTAGGAGTTTACAAAAAAATTAATTTGATACTTTTAGCAAAAACTGAAAAAAGGAAATTTGATTTAATACACAGTTTATATTTTTATTAATTTTTTATGAAAATTCTATATGTATAAAAATATTTAAAAGACAACTTAATTATATAAATTTTGAATTACAAAAGTTATGCAATTAATTCTAAAGTTATATAATAATTTACTAAAAATATAAAATTTCATAATTTTGTTTTTTTAAAGAAAAAATTTAAAGATTTTAACTTTTAAGGATTGAAAAAAAATTTAATTATTCAAACTATAAATGCTCAATTATTAAAACAAAATAAACTGCATAAATCTAATTTAAAATTGAGTAAAGATATATTTTCCCTTTCAGGTTCTTAACATTAACAAGTCACCATTTACCCTAACAGAAAAAAGAAGAAGAAGCCACTGAGATATAGAATTTTCACAAGTTTTTTCTTATTGCAAACTGTTTCAGTACAAAGGACAGGATTTCTATTCAGACAAAAAAAGGGCAAAAGAAATGGAACTGTGCAAATATAATAGTGTAAGGATCAGAAGTTCATTTCATTTGTATTTCAACAAAGAAAAGAACTCTAGTGTAATTTTTCAGGTATGTGCCATTAAATTCTTGGATAATTGATATATATCCTCTAATTTACCTGCTTTTGATCTTAAGTAGAGATTGGCCAGTGAATACCCTAATTTCTCACATACTTGGAAACCCTTGTATACATACATTGAGTATAAGATGTATGGAAGGAAAAAAAATCTTTTTTTTCTTTTGCATTAAAAACTGATGAAACAAGTAATTTTATTGAATTTTTTTTATGTTTAAAGATCTCATCAATAGGCTTCCAAGTACTTGAGAAATTAAAATCCCCATGAACAAAAAATTACCTAAGATTTATAGCCATAGCAGAAAACTTCATGCAATGTTTCATGTTTGGTAGGTAGAAAAGTGCTTTCTAAAAAGGAAATGGTAATTGAACCTATCTTATATTCTTTCTAGATGTATTCTCCATTTTCTTTATAAAAACCACTTTTCTGTATGCCAAACATGTAATCAGTTTAGTACGAGTTTTTTAAACTTCCGAATGCAATCCAGTGCTCTCTTGAACTCATTTTCTTCCAATGCAATACTGAACCGGCAGTAGCCAGGGATTCCGGTCCATGAGCTACTGTTGATACATAAACCAGTGGTTTTGAGAATGCAATTCCTGATATTAGAGTCATCCAACTTAATTTCTCCAGGACCATTTCCTGAAGCATCATTAATCTTAATTGTCTTGTTGAGAAAAGCTGAGGGCTTGGCTACAATAGAAACACCAGCACAGGATTCAAGCACATCCCAGCCATTTCTCTCAAGTTCCTATGAAAGTAAGTAAATATATATCAATACAATATGGAAACAAGCAATTCAAAATTTCTGATAATTTGTGCAATTCACTCTTTCATGATCAGTATTCATTAGTGTTATTATCTCACGTTACTGTCAGGATGGGGTGCAGTTTACTAATCAAACTGAGGTTTTGGTTCAGAACCGATACATCAAGATAACAAGTTCCTATGAAAGCAAAAATAACAATACATTGTGGAAACAAGCAATTCAAAAATACTGATAATTTGCGCTAGTCACTGTTTCATGATCACTATTCATTAGTGTTATTATCTCGTGTTACTGTCAGGATGGGTTGCAGTTCACTAATCAAACTGAGGTTTTGATTCAGAACTGATACATCAAGATAACTAATTAGTGTTGTCAGTTTTGAGAAATCTAGCTAACTTAGCACTGCGTCAATTCTATATGTGAACATCTGACCGTACAGTTCCATGATTGAATTTCAAATGCTTTGCTGTTAATTTTGCATGCAAGCCTTTCAAATTGCAATTCTTTATTATCTCATGCGTCAGTTTGTCACCGTAGGAGCCCTAAGTAAAAGACTTAGCATCAATATCAACATTCTTTACCATTAATGCTGATTGATCTAGAGCAAGAGAAAGAATATCCAAACTGGAGGCTCTGGCTACGTCAGAGAGTTCCTTTTGCAGCTGTTTGTCCAGTTACCCAGTAAAACGTTCATAAATTTGACTTATTATAAAGGCATATTGCATGTTTTCCCATGGAATTTTGCTTGAAATTGGCATATATTCCTCAGGAAACTTTAGTAAAGTAATTTTGCTTCAAGAATTACATCCACAATTCAAAATATAAGTCAAAAAACAAGTGTTTAGCAGAGAAAAGAGTACCTCTTTGAAGATCTTGGATCTACTTTTCAATTTCCTCGAGTGTTCAACGATAGCATCTGACATGTCCGTTGCTTTCCGCTCTCCAAGATCCAGCAACTTCTTCATCGCATATCTAATAGTACCATGAGGTTTGCTTAATCCTGGAAAATTATTAAATGCTTCAACCAAAAATTGCTGGTTTAGAATCAGGAAACCGAATCTGAGAGCACTATTAAGCATCTTCAGAGACAACCCTCCAAAAAGACAGACACAAAACGATGGTTTGCACGAAGAACTCAGCTTTGACAAACATGGCTCTAAACTCCATCCACCCCAGCCATCACAGTCAAATTCCAAACCTGAGAATGAAGTATCAAGTATAACTCTTGCCCCAAATTTAGCACAAGTGCTTAAAATCTCTCCTATTTCACTGTTGCTATAAACTAAGCCAGTTGGATTGATTGTTGGACCAGAAATATACACCCATGGTTTGTTTACAGTCTCAAGGACACAAGTGAGCGTATCTTCTGTGAGCTTAAAACCCTCACTGACATTGGTAGGGATCATTTTTATTTTAGCTTTCAAGAATCTAGCAGCTGAAACAAAGTTCCCATTTGATCCAGCAGGAAAACAGAGAGTGCCCCCTTCTTTGATGCAGCACAAGACCATTTTATTGAAAAGAGCTCTTGAATTGTCTGCGTATATAAAGTCTGTGCTGCTATCTGTTGGGAAACCATAGTTCCTCCTGACAAACTGTTTAATACTAGGGGTGACGTCAGTTTCAGATTCAGCCATGTTTTGCCTTGCAAAACTTTCGAAGATAGAAGCCTTGACTGGAGATGGTGTAGGCAAGAAGCTTAAATCAACATCCATGTGGATTACAGGCCCATTCTCCACCTCATCAATTGACAGCTCAGCATTATTCAGGACAGATAAGGCTGAACTAGCAAATCCTATCATATTAACTGATTTGAAATCTTCACGTTTTCTCTGAATGACAGGAATAGAAGTGATCAGAGAATCTTATAGGTCATTAACACTTTCTTAACAAGTAATGACTGCATTGACCTCATATGCAGATGCACTGAAGAAAAATCAGTGTCGAATATCAATATATGACGTTGCATGGCATGCTTGCTTCCCTCCCTTACCTTTTCGCCCATAACAACAAGCAATTCTGATTTGAATTTTCAATCTTGTAAGTTCCCTAGGGCCTTGAGGCTCTCTGGGAGAAAGAGTCAAGGCCAAGAGGACAAACGTGGTCTGGCTAAACATCAGGTATGAAATTGATTCATCGGCTGTGAATCAATTGATGCATATGCTAAAAATACAATACTGTCTTCTAAAATCCCATTTATAATGTATCTGTGTAAATGGTTTAAGAACTGAGCATTCCTAATTTCTTCAATTTCCGAAGGGGGAAAGGATAGATAACACCAAGCCTGCCTTTGCTCTCTTGGAAGCAAAAAGGTTAAAGCTGACAATGATGGTCATCCAGCTACTAATAAAAAATCACATTGGCAATGGTCCTCAATTGGATTTGGAAGGGGCAGAGAGAAGAAGGATACAATAATTTCTTTCAAGAGAAACATTGGTTCCTAAGTCAAAATTATCAGATCATCTTTCTCTTTTGTTATTTGGTGGTTCAAATATACCACAATTATGGACTGATGAAAAACTACTACAAATTTCTCACATTCTCACATGAACTACAATTCTACCAAAGACTCAGAATTATTAACTAAAAACATAACAGAAGCAACAAACCTGAGAAGGTGGATGTCGGTCCAAAAGCTGGAAAGCAGTAAGCTCATGAAATATACAACCATAATATTGTTGGCTAATCAATGAAGTATTGCCTTCCTGTAGTTCTACAGTTTTAGATAAGGCATTAAAGAGGGATTCTTCTTCTGAAATGACAAAAGCAACTTCTAAATCTGGATAAACCTGGACAAATAATAGTTGAGAAATTGTGAAAAAAAAAACAAGGGAAAAAGGAAGGAGCACCACAGTCAAGCAATTAACAAGGAATTTTACCTTATTTTTCACCAAACCACATATAATTGCAACGTGAGAGGGAAGGCAAGTTTCTGCAACATACTTCAGGACCCCACTGGATCTTGGGAGGCTGGATAGCTCAAAGTGATCAGATATGTCTATGAATAGACGAGATCCAATCTCTTGTGTCGTGTGTAAAAGTTGCACAAAAGCAGAACTAGTAACTGCCTCAAAATAAGCAATCCCAGTCACCACCACTTGTGGCTTCAACCTCTTAATTAATTCCATCATTAAGTCTGACTGTCTAGGAGCTTCAATTACCATAAGTGTATCCTCTGAGGAACCATTAGTTTCTGTACCCTATGAAATGGACAAAAGAAAAAATTATGGCATATGAAACAAAAACAACAATGAACTCATTTTTATTGATACAGCATTTTCATAGACTAAAGGATCATCCAATCATTTTTTATTCACAACCAATTTCTGAATGTTAAGAAGTTAAGGATTCAAGATTCATGTCAATGGATACATCATTTAATACTATAAGTAGAGCACATACAATCTAGCTGATGAGTGTACTGGTATTTAATAAGAGACAAAATGGGTCTTTCGAATACATTGAAGCTTATATCCAGCAATGTTACCCAGATTTCTATTCACAACCAATTTCTGAATTTTGAAGAAGTCAAGGATTCAAGATTCATGCCATCTGTAATTGTAAGGAATTAGGACCATTACTAATCTCATCCTACTTCCAAAAAGTGAGTGAAGAACAGCTCTCCCAGCTTAACCGTTCTGGTATCAAGCAGAATCAGTCAATTTGGTATGGAAGAAGTAGATACTTGGAGATTCAGCTGCAGAAAATAAAATAACTACCCCAATAGCCCCTCCTCTCCTCCCTCGTAAAATCGGCTCTGTTAGATATACCAAGGTCAAACAATAACATACTTGCATTTATTTGACATAAAATACAATTACGAAAGGCTATAAAGAACAACACATGGGATTTTTAGAAGCATGAGAGGACTAAAGTGCACTTCACTTCGATTCCATACCTCAAGTGCTAACGATGTTAGCCACTGCCTAGGTAGGTGTCGAGTCAGATGTTCATCAACAACTGCAAGGCGAGGAGAGAACAAGCGAAGAACATTCTCAATTGCTATGGTTCTTGAAGGAAAGATGACCACGTTCTTGCACAAGATTATGAAAGATATGTCAATGTTGTGTCATAGTACAATTAAGAATGGTTTTTTTATGAAGCCATGCCAACAAATTTATCTAAAGCAAAACATGGTAAAGAGCATCCAAAAAGTTAAAGGAGACAAAATTCAAAGGGAAATCTCAATGATTAATGCATGTACACCTATTTATCCTAAGGCTAAAATATGGCTAGATAATTATAAAACACTGTTTTCTTCTTACATTGGCAGTAAGAGGAATATGGTGATATGTTTTCATAAACCCTGCAATGAGACTGCGGAATCGCTTACTTCCAACTGGTGGCTCATAGGCAAAATACATATTCTCTTTAAGAGTATGTGCAAGATGAGCAAGGAAAGGAATCTTCTCATCAGCAACAGAATCATCCTTGAAGGACAAATCCAAGGAGCTACTGATCTCTTGGAATCCATTTCTGAGAAAATCAAAGATAATCTTAACCTGTAATAAGAAGCATTGTACTTTAAATCTTTTTTGTGTGACAAGAGATATTCTCTTTGGGAATTGACAAGCTTTTGTGAAGTGGCACACCTTAGTAGGTTGCTGAAGTTGGCAACTGTAAACTGATAAAGCATGAGAAATGCTACCACCTGCCTTTCCATAAGCCCATGCTGTCCGTGCACAAATAGGCTGATCTCCAGAAAGCCCCATAAAGAACTCAAAACGGTGAGGACTGTTCTTCTCAATCTCAACTAAGGCTGTAATATCAGTGTCACCCGCCTGTACAGAAAGATCCCTATAAGGTTATGTTCCACAGGAAATCACATTCGGTCACACATTGGTTTACTCACCTGAGTAATTTTGGTCTGCCAAAGCTTTGTAATGTGGAAACCTCGACGTTCAAACAAGCGGCTGCAAACTCCTTGGCCTGGGCGGCCTCCCATATTAAAAATCATAATTCCAGTTGGTTTTATTACTTCTATACCCTCTTCAACTGCCCTAGCTATTAAACCCAACCCAAACTGATCCTCGACAAAACCCTAGACAAGGAGCAAAACAACATAAAATTGACGGTACCACGCTACCATTATAGATAACTAGTGATTACATCAAGGCAAGCACCACTGGATGAACAAGGGATAACTTGTGCAGGCAAAACTTATTCTGAAAAACAAGGCCGTTCTTGTTGCTTGGCAAACAATTAAGGACAATATAAAGTAAAATTTAAGCATTAAACACAACAATAAAACATACTTCCCTATCTGTAGATAACTAGCTTTTGCCATGCAAAAATAAGAGTTTATAGATGCAAATTACAAGCCAAAATGACGATGATCAACATAATAATCAAAGGCTTTTACCTGAAGTGCACAATAATTACTTAATGAATGAAGGAATTCCTCGCTTGCATTTTCCGTAATCATCTTAGACATTGCATCTGGATTTGGATTCAGAATCTAACAAACGCCAAACAATGAGAATGGTCATCTAAAAAAAGGCCACCGTTTGATCACAACAATAAAATATAGATTCAAGGTACATGCTTTGTTGAATCAAGAAATATAGCATGCAAGAATCATAATACATGAATTCCTATGCCTCAGAATTTATAATTAATGTGATTTATTAAATGGATACCAAAGGCAGTACACAAAGAACTTTCTAACTGCTCTTCTAAAATAATCAGTCCACACTTCCCACTCTAACTGCCTAAGTAAATGGAAAGGCATCAAGTCAAGAAGTTTTCATGACAATAGAATCTTGCAGGTAGAGAGGTACCTCACCTAATAACCTGGCCATGAAAAGGCATATGGGAGTGACTTACAGAAATTATGCAAATAATAATTTTTTCCCATATAAGATGTAACAGCCTAGATAATTCCCTACATGTAATGGTTCAGGATGTACCTGAGGTATGCATCCAACAATTCTGTCAAGTTGAATTTCATGATCCCTGATATATGATAGAAGATCAGATTCATAGAACTCTACCCTGTCCAGCAAGGTTTTCTTCTCTTCATCGTAGATAGGCTGGCCTTTTTCATCAAGAGCATTTAAGTATAAATTTATCCAAGAAATCTTTACCGCTCTAGGATTGATATCAAGACCGTAAACCTGCATAAATGAGCATCAGTTAGTGAACTGCAAAAATAGTAAATGCGAGTACTTCCAAAAAGTAATCAAACATAAAACTTTGGCATCTACTATCTATTAATCTATCAATTCTGTAGGAACCCAAATTAAGTGGCTTGAATTGTGAATAGTACTTTTTGGGCTATGTGATTTGTCTGTAAATTATGTCAGTGGCTAAGTAATTTGAATTTGAACTGTTTGAATAATTCAGTGATTTGAATTTTGAACTTGAGTTTCATAGGAAGCCAAGTGGACAGATGGGGAAGGGTGTTTCACATTTTTTTTTTTCATACATATTGGAATATTTGACGCTTCCTTCAATATTAATATTGCCTGTGCAAGGCTTAGAAATTCTAGTTAAAAGAAATAAATGGTCTAAGAGGCAATATCTGATATCCTTGTTATCAGGTTCATCTCACGCGTATCAGTTTTTCCACCAATAATACGACAACTGTATGGTTTAAGTGGGAGCCATGCAGTTATTTGCAAAAATCGTGTACATGTCAAGTTTTTTTTTATTTTTTTTATGCCAAGTACACATGTTGAGTTATTATTGGAGGCTTTTACATAATTCATATTTTGATTGACAAAACCTGCTAGCAAGAATATAAAGAATTGCTTCATAACTTTCTTTTTCCTGAAAGAAAAAGAAATCTTGATCCCCTTGGGAGGGAGAAGTGCATGGTATTAAAACCCAACCAAGGTTGGGTGGTCAAATTAGTAAACCACTGAATCAATCATTTTACTAGTTCCATCTAGAGTTTTGGACAAGCCAACTTGTTGGATTTTATATATTTTTTTCTTCTCCTGCCAGACCTGAAATGACATCATTTTGAGTTAACCCCAATTCACCCACGTTTTGGACAATTAACTTTTAAATTACTGCTTTAACTAGTTCAATGACCAGTTCGGTTTTTGATAAAAAAAAGATGAAGAGGAGAGAAAGAAGAAAAGTGGGACCTAGTGAAAGCCGCATAGGCATAGATCCCACTTTCCTTTTTCCTTTTATCTGTCTTCCAATTTCCCTGCATGAGAGGATCCTCAAACAATAAGGCATTCATAGCTCCAAAGCAAACCTTTGAAGGCAGCCACTTCTCAGCCATGGCAAGGGATATCCATCCATTTCCACAGCCCAGCTCAGCCACAGTCCTGTCCTTGAAAACCGAGGCTGGGTGTCTATTAAGTCCTTCAAAAAACGTAAAGGACCAGTCTTCTGGGACAAAAATGCTAGGAATCACCATCGAGGTCAATTTCTTTCTTCCATGATATCCTGCGTATAGCCAAAATAACAGAGGATTACTGCCCGGGGTTTTGATTGTTTTCTCTTTACATGCATTCCAATTTTGTTCATACATTTTATCATTGTCAAGCCTAATCGGAAGGGACACCCTTCCACTCAACCCAACCTTTACATTCCAATTTTAAACATACGTATCATAACCTTGTTGCATTTTCTTGATTTTTTCTTCATGAATTAGGTGCAGTTGAACGTTGGTAAACTGAAAGAAAGTAAAGAGAATAGGACAATGAAAAAAAAAAAAAGGCCGTGGCACACGTTGACATTTATACGGATGAGTTTGGAAGATATTAAAAACCGAATTTGTAGGCAATATTTCTCTTGCCAAAGGGAAAGGGAAGAATAGGCAAGCAGCGTATGCTCTTAAGAGTCCGCTGCTTTATCCGCAATGAAAATAAACGCAAGCAGGATGAGGGAAATTCACAGAATCGTCTTTAACAATGTAATTTTCCCGTTTTTGGCCCCTCCTTAAAACATTGACTCCTTTTTCATCCTAATACGAGTTGTTTAAGTAGTTTTTCAAGAAATTTTGTTTAGTACAGAAAATAGGATATTAGGTAGGTATTATATATTTAACAACATAAACAGATTTGACAGCAACAGGCTTAAATCTACCTCAACCTTGAAACAAAAGTTGCCCCTTGTGTCACATAAAAAGAATCATCATTTAAAAAGGAATAAAAGAAATAAAAGAACTCTATTTTGTTGTACTTTCGTATGTAAGTGTCGCCCAGGTGGCTAAGTGTATAAGTACTAAAGAATTCTATTGGGCAATTGCCAACAAATTTTACAGAAGAGCAGGCGCAAGATACAGTTTGACCCAAAACTCGGCCCCAACTTTTTGTGCTAAAAAAAAACACTATTTTCTTGGTTAGACAAAGTTGCCCTTTTTCTCTTGGCCCGAAACAGCAACCTCAGTATTGTCTGTTTTATGGTAAAATCTAAAGTCTACCGTACATGAAAGCATATCAAGTAAAAAATGAAAAATCCAATTCATGTGTCGAAAATAAGGGGCAAATGAAGAAGCTAGTGTCGACTTCCCTCTATTCAAAATAATGAGAAAAGAACCCCCAAGATATAGATTTTAATATTTTTATTTTTAACAACCGGCTCCTTAATTATACAAGTTTTATGGCTTCAAATATGATTAAATCTTAATCCCTTTTGTATGGTTTTTCTGTAGTCTTGTATTTTAAAAAAATAACGAGAAAAGAAAGCAGAGGGTAAGAACAAAATAAAACGATCATTACATACAGCTGCTTTTCATTTATTAACGCATTTGTTATAAAATAAAAGGATAAAACCAAGCAAAGGAAAATCACTTTTTTTTTCCATCCACTCTCGAAATTCAATTCACCAAGTCATTTTCATTTTATTATTCCATTTCACCTTTTCCAGGAAAGGATCCACATAAAAACGACACGTTGCGAAATTTTGGGGAACAGTGATTGGGTGCTAAGAAAATACCCGAAAATTCAATTCACCAAGTCATTTTCTTTTGAAGTTAGCGTTGTGGCCAAACTTTCTGTTTATAAACACAGATTATCACTCGCTTCCCCGATCGTACTCAATTCTTCGAGCAACCAGATAGGTAAAACTAAGAACATGGAGAACAAAAGGACGAAAAATAGAGACTCGATCATGAAATAGCGAGACGAGAACGCAAGAGGCAATAATGTCAGTCATTGAAGCAATACCTTCGTGTTGGTCCAAGATAATGTCTTCGATCAGAAAATGATACTTCTGAAAGCATTGATCGCGCCCCTCCTTGGTGCCAAAACGCTTCTGCACCTCCGAGAGGAAGATCCGAGCCCGGACTCGGGAATTCGGATCCTCCAGACGCTCCAACACAGACCGGAGAGCACCGTATGCGGCGTCACCGGAATGCTCACACTGCTTCAGAAACTCGTCCACCGAACCACACACATCCTTCTTCGTTGCCATTTCCTTCTTTCTAAATTGAAGCGCCCAGCTCCTCACAGAGAAGAGAGATTGCAGAAGCTTTAGCTGAGAGGAACGAGGATCATGTTTCCCGGTAATATTTTGTCGAACATGACTATTATATCGAACAACATTTTTACCGAGTCAACTTAACAAATCATAGAAATTTAAGTTAATTTAATTAATCAATTTATATTTGCTGTCTGAAATCTAAATGGGGTTAACTATATAAGGCATTCTTGTATAGTTAATATCCTTTCATCTAATCAAATCCAGGCATATAAATTTTAATATATTAATAATATTAATAATAAAAATTTATTATAAAATAAATAATCTATAATAGATATACATATTTAGATTTAATTAAAAAAAATACCTTAAGTATATAAGTTTTTTTCAAAATATAAACCCTGACAAATACATGCAACCATCTGGTATACTAAAATACGTGCAAAGTTATACTACCCAAGATGGCATAATTAATATTATTATCATTATAAATCGTACGTAGTCATATTAATAATAACATTTAATTAATTCATTCATCAGATGCTAAGCTCATCCATGAAATAAGCGTAACGGGAAATTTGTGTTTCACGTTATGTCAACTACTGGACATACCATATACAGAACAAGAAATTGAAGAAAGTGATTTGTCAGTAAAGTAGGTAAAAAAAAAGTGAGGTTTTAAACTTAGACATTATAATATGGTTTAATTGGTGAATGCAATAATCGCTTAGGAAATTTTTTTATTACACGGAAAAATTTGCTTTAAAAATAGGAATACATATACACATAGTTACCGTAATGAAACGAAAGCATGCAAGAGACTTTTTCACGGGCGTGGGGTGTCTTCATTTCCCCCCTCCCCATTTCTCCTACCATTTCCTCTGCCATTTTGCTTATTAAAAAAATATAGGAAAAATAGAAAGCAACTAAAAAGAAAGCATTTCCATCTCATGGGACCTGGCTTTTCTCCTCCCACCATCCCTTGCACACAGTTTAAAATATTTATTTTTACATTTATTAAAAATTTATAAAAAATTTAATAATATATTTTATAACTAATTTAGCAGTCCTAATTTAATATGAATGATTCAAATTTAATATTAAAATTATATATAATTTTTATAAATTGACTGTTTAGGTATACTATTAACAGTGCAGATTCAATGTTAAATTTATAAAAAAATTTAATATTAAATTTGAACCACGCATATTAAATATGAATTGTTCCTTTTGGTAATTATATTTAAAAATTTTTTAATTTTTATTAATTGAATTTTCCAATATAATCTGGATAGCACAAATTATTTGAACTATTCATATTAAATTTAAACTATCTAAATTGCTGATCAGATTTAATAAAAATTATATTTCTTTAATACCTCTAAAATAAAAATAAAAATTAAAACACTTATTCTGGATGGTGTATCGGCGAGGGAAGGATGAGAGAGGCCGGGTCGGTGAGGGTGCTTTTATTTTAGTTGTTTTCATTTTTTTTTTTTTTGCATTTTTTATAATGAGCAAATCAGTGCAGTTTTTTTAAAAAAAAATGGAAGAAAAATAAAGAGAGGAGAAATGGAGACAACCCCACTCTCCTTTCGTACAAGCCCACGTAAGCTCCATAATCTGGTAATTATTTTGGTCAATTCTATTTTCCGAAGGCCATCAAGTGAAAATTTATATTTGGGATGTGAAAAACGAAAACATTGTAGAATTAATTTCTCATGGTTTTTAATTTTGCCACGTAATTTTCATAGATCAAAGAAGGCAAAAAGTCACGATGCAATTAGCACTAAAGAATTCATAAAAAGTCAAAAACGGCTCTATTAAATTATTTTATGATTGAAGTGACAGGGACAATTAATTTATTTTTTGGGAAAATGATAGTTAACAAGCAGGTGCTGAACAATTTTTTTTTGAAAAATCAAGTTCAAATATCAATTCAAATAATTATAATTTAAAAATTATAATTATAAATAAGATATTTTAAACCTAAAGGTAACAATTAGTTTACAATTTAGATTTTATTTATAATTATTTAAATTAATATTTGTACTTCATTTTTTGAAAAAAATTGCCAAGATCTACCTATCATTAATTTATTCTTTTAAAATTTTATTGTCATTTCTTTTTTTTTTATCTAAATTACTTTCAATCATCCTCTCAAACAATAACATCCCTCAAAAAATATTTTATTCACAATTAATGTTTCTGTATTGTTGTTCATGGGTTTCTAATAGGGACAATCACGGACCAATCCCGCATATAAATTCTAACATCTAAAAAGTCCAATGGATTGTAGTTGTAATGTACATTTACAAAAAATAATAATAATAATAATAATAATAATCTAGCATTCGCACCCACTTACTCCTCCTCTCTCCTTCCCGATACCTCTCGCCGTGCTTTCCCTTGAGACGATTCCATCAATTGTGGTGTGCTTCTCTCTCCCCATCTTCTGGTAACTCCACATTACCATCTCTCTTGTGTTCGAAATCAATCCCTATTACTCCCATGATGAGTGGTTCGAAATCAAATGCACCTAAAATTCTGATGGAACTCATCACAGGCCCTATCTCAAGAAGTTCATACAACTGATGTCACCAGATTTGATTACTACTTCATAACCCGATTTACAGTCGAAACTGCAAAAACATTAGCACACGGAGGATTTTTGCCATAGATTCAGCGGAATCAAAGAAGGGCTCCACACTTCACAAGGACACATGCTCGTGAATAATATGCTCAACGTTAGCTAAATACATTATCGCTTTTTTATAGAACTACCATCTAATGTTAAATGCCGTTACATTAGATTCAAGTATTATTATTACATTGAACGGGATATAATTCTCTCGACATGATTCTCGTGCACATGACATATGATATCAATAAAAATTTTGAAGGGAAATCTGAGTAATGATCTATTAAGCATGAATGACTTCTACCATGTCAAAGTGACACTCTACTGCTAAGTTATATCCCTTTCCTTGTCCCGCCCCCCCTCCCTCCATCTCTTCCGCATTGAATCATCAGAGGTAGCTGTAGGCTCTGTATTTGACTCATCCACGGGCATTCCTCTCTTCAGTGGCCATACCGGCCACAATGTAAACAAATTGGATTCATTCTTGAATATTCAATATCCAAAACTCAGTCTCGTAGTAATGTAGTAACTTGGATTCTAAGCAAAGATTCCATTTCTCAATGAAATTTGTTGTTCTTCAGCTTTGTCATTGGATTACAAGACTATGCAATAAGACTCAGTCTCTCACGTTTGTCCCATAAGCATCAGTTCATCCATCCAACAACCCTGTGCTGCTCCTTCTAGAAGGCGGCTGATTATTCTCTCTACTCTCGCTGCCTTTATATTTGCCCCTACTCTTCCATATGCCTTTGCAGGTACTGCTATCTTCTTCTTCTCTTTTGCCTGTTAGTTGCATCTTTTTAAAAAAAATCATTGTTATTCAATTTCACCCTCAGATTCAGATGCTGATCGTATCTACACCGATGATGTAAATAAGTTCGAGATAGCCATTCCTCAAGGTGATCTAGCTTAATTTGTCACGGCAAAAAACTTGATCTTTGCGTTACACTTTCCCAAATGGCTTGTTTGAGCTGTTCTGTTTCTCCCTCAGAATGGTTAGTCGAAACTGGAGAGCCTAAGGATTTAAATCAGTCACCGCTTTCTACCCACAAGGGGATTCGAGTTCCAATGGTATTCTTCTTCTTATTCTTCGTGGGTCAATGTGCGTTTGTATATATTCGCTAGCACTAGCAAAGTCTAAATCAGTTGGTCTAATTAGTCAGCATAGTGATCCCGGGGCTGGGTCCGGACTTTACTAGGATGGAGGGTCTGTTTGGATTTCAGTTGGGTATAATAGATTATAAAAATAATTGATTAAGTGATAGATTTTAATCATAATTGATTATGTTATAACATAATCTGTTTGGATACTGTTTTTCTAAAATTGATTTTAACATAATTGCAGATGTTTGGATAATTTAATCAGAATTAATTTTTAACTATATAAATTACTATATAATTTAATTTTTAAACATCAAATATAATTTTTTAAATATACAAAGTTTAAATTTTATTAAGAAAAAAAAAGAGAAAGAAGAGAGTTTAATTTTATTTTTATTAAATTATGTGCTTTTTTTGTAATTTTTTCTTGGGCCTTTCTTTGTAATTTTTCCCAACATTTTTGACAAACTTTTGGCGGAAAGCTGGTGAGAGGAGATTATGAAAAAACGCGCGTTTTATCTTTTTAATCGATTTCTGCGTTTTTGTGCTGTTTGGGTGATTTTGTTCAAAAAATCAATTCTAGACTGAAAACGCGCGTTTCTCTGTTATCCAAACATACGCGGAATCATTTGGCAAAGTGGATGAATTTGCTGAGACTCTGGTCGGTTTCCTCACTTTCAATTTCAGGAGTCATCTTGTCTTTTTTAGATAAATGTTAGATTGTTATTGAAAAAATTAGCTCGATAGCTTTAAAAAATACAACTCTTATAAATTATGTGATTTCTAAATATTTTAAAATATAGCCTATTCATAAAATTCATTGAATGTGTTTTTCCTTTTTTATCCTCAATAAATATATCATTAAAACATAATATATCTGATTTAACCAATCTTTAACTGACTGGATCTTTCATTTTTATCATCAAAAATTATATTGTGTGTGCTCCCTCTTTGATTTATCATCTCTGAATATTTTCTTTATCAGATTTTTTAATCTAATTTCCTTGAATCATCATATTTATATATCATATAGTACTTTTCTTCATCAAAATTTTTGATCTGATTTGCCTAGATTACCATTTTCATCACAAAGCTTTTCCTCTCTCTCTCTCTCTCTCTCTCTTGTTTTTCCTAGATATTACAAAAAGGATATTAGACAATGAAAAAAAAAACTCCATTACTAATCTGCGATATTACATCATTGATATATATATATATATATATATATCAATGATAAATAAATTCATAAGTTTTCATTGATATACAATAGTATATCATTGATATACTATCGTAAATCAAAATAACTAAACAATCAGATATAAACTTATCTATAATTGATATATAGTCGTATATTAATGATATAGTATTGTAAATCAGTAATACAAAAAATATGTAATCATTTACCCAAAATAAATCAAACATAATCCACAAAAAATTTTAGACTCTTAACTTATCATAGAAAATCAAATATATAAACTAATAAAATAAAAAATATGAATCCGTAGCTCCGTTTTCCCACTGGTGTGCTCCGTTCCGTCGAGTACATTGATGTATCTCACCTCACGTTTGTCTCTTGCTGTTGTAACTGTGGTTCACTCAAACTGCTTTGCTATCTCGCATTTGTCTCTCTTGCGTCGAATTTTGTCTTCTCTCTCTCATTTGTTTCTCTCGTTCTAAAGATTTCTTTCTTTTTTGAATTTCTTGATATTTTAAAAAATATATTAAAAAAGACAGTTTTATAAATTAATTATTATCTAAATATTAAAAAGGCATTTTTAAAATTTAAGAAAGGATAGGCTATTTTTTTTACTTGATCTTTTAATATGAGAGCCCCATTGTTATTTGTTCGTCAAATTGCAGGTCAGTTGGCAAGACAGAAGCTGGCGGAGACCTCCAGATGTGGTGGCTCAGCTGATAGATTGTAAAACTGCTAATGGTAATGCAGCACCAATCCTGCTACTCAGTTCAGATCCTCCGCATTAAATGTGTTATATTTCAAATAAATTGAATTATTCAATTAAAAATATAAAATTTAGTATAATAACAATCACTCCGTGACTGCCGGCAATCCAGGCCCTATTTCTTTCCTTTTATTTTTGGAGATCCTTTGATTCTATGGATGCTCTTGCATGGATGCGCATATAATACTGTAAGAAAGAAATAATTAAAAAAAAGGTGGAAATGAGTGTAAATAAATGAATTTGACATTATATGCTCACTTTTGTTGTATTCTCAATCCCAGTGCCTGACTTAAATTGTGTTTCAAGCTTCTATTGCATAAATTATTCCCCTCAAAATCCTGGCGAGGCTCGCAGACATCTTTACTCGGCTATTGGGATGGCATCAAATGGTTGGTATAACCGACTTTATACGGTCACAGAACAGGTTTGCCCATCTCAATTTAGTTCATACCATAAATCAAAGAGAGTTTTTCTGTATTAACCCAACCAACAAACTTGGGGCTCAATCCATTATCGCTCTTGCTTCCATGTAGTATGTGGAAGACGCTGCCAACAAATACCGCTCCCAAATTCAAAAGGGGAACTTAGAGTACCCCCCAAAAACCAAAAAATTACAAGTGGCTTTTGGTTTTATTTAGACTCTCTCCCCCACCCTTCACCTTGCAAGTGGCTTTTTGGTTTTATATACTAATGCCCAATCACCGCTTTGCTCCTTTGCAGGCGGTCGCGTCATTTAGGTTTATGTGAATTGGTAGTTACCATAGGAAATGCTGCATCTATTGCTATCAAATGTCATCTTCTTCATCCCCATCACTTGTTAATTGATTCTATTTTCAATTTTTTGGGAATGGAGAAATTGAAAACTGTATCAGCTGCAGCAGATAATAAGAAGAGCCCTTTCTGTGTTGCATTTTAGCCGTTTTCCGTTTCGGGCACCAAAACTTACTGGTGCCAGATATGCAAGCACAATATTATCCAACGGAACATAATACATACAATCTTAATAAAAGGGTAAATTCCTCTTGATAAATCATGAAATTGAACTTCATTCAAATCTTAGGAACTGTTTTTCACCAATACAAAAACTTCCACGTCAAAATAATACCGCCTAATCTCTTTAATGCTCTCATTAAACTCGCCTAGATTTGGTTGGAAAAATGCTAAACTAAAATTAAGAGACGTCATATATGTAAACACATCACTTTTGTGTGTGCGGGGAGGATTACAATAAATCGCTAAAATTTCCAGCATTTCCAAATCTCATCTCATAAAGTTCAAACTATGTTCCGTGCTTGAGAGTTTATTTATTTATTTTTTTTTGGCGGGGGTGGGGGGTGAGGATTTCGCCAATGTGCAGGCAACGCGCTTGAAGCAGAACAATAAGCGCTTCAATGCAGGCAAAATAATGAGCCACAAAACTAACAAAGTAGTATACCAATAACAAGTTTACATACAAAGCTGCAAATTCAAGTCAACGAAATGCTTATTATTAAACGTCTTAGAACATGAGATGATGCAGTCCAGGGCTCTGGGAATCTACCTGCAAGAGTCATATACTTGTAAGCAATTTGAAGGAGCGAAATTTTTTTTTTCCTGAACTCATTTCTTTTAATTTCATTTATACAAAAAAGAACTCCTTCACAGTTCACTTACATCACCATTCTCCATTATCTCATTACCATTTACAAGGATAATCAAATCCCAATATATAAGCTAGGTATATGCATAAAATATTGAGTGTGTCAGCCTCAACCTTGGACTACGCTCATGCTGAATTAAATTGTCAGCCTAGTAAGAATCATACTATACATTCTTCCATACATCATCCTTGCGCATCCATAAAAAGAATTATGCTTGCCGACCCCGAAATTTCAAATACTTGAATACTAATCATTGATCATACCAATAAATGGGATGACATTCCAAAGAACTCAACATTTTTCTCCAAATAAGATTTTCAAATTTTTTTTAGGTCACATTCTAGAATTGAAACACTATACCTCTCTACTCACACCCAGCCACCTCACCCTTACGTATATTCAAAGTATCAAATCAAATTAGAGACAAATAAAACTCACGTTTACCCTTATACATTTTTCCCTTCCCCCATGGCAGACAAATAAAAACAGAATCCAAATCCTCTTGGAAATATACAGAAGTATACAAAATACTTTCCAACGGAGTACCTTTTTGGATTTCAATTTACATCTGACAAAAGTACTTTGTGGATCCAACTATTTGATGGATTTAGTAAAAGCACATCCCAAATATAGTTTGAACGGGTTGCCTAAACAGGCTGCGGTGGAATTTGCATGGGAAAGCGTAATTATAATTAGAAAAAGGAGGGAAAACTAAGAGCCAAGTTGAATAGATCCAAAAGGGATGAATTGCATTTCAAAAAACCCAGCATTCTGCCTACCCTAGAAGAACAGAACCCCGATGCATAACATCATTTTCATATTCATCCACACGCACCTTAATTCATTATAAAAAGAAAATTACAAGTCCACATCTCAACCAAACAAAAACAAATACAAAATATTATCGCACAACGATTGATTAAACCAGAAGAAAACTAACAGACAAGCACATAGTACCGAGATTTGATTGATGAGATTTTAGAGTAATCAAACACACCTGAGAGAAGCGGCAAGACACGAATCCCAGGTCAGTGAGAAGAATGAACAGAAGAGGATGAGTGAGAGTGGTGAGAGGAAGGAGAATTTAGCCTATTGTAGACTTGTTCACCGACGAGGTAAATGCCGAAAGCCACGAGGGCGATTCCAAGCCCAGGGGTGGCGTGTCGGAGCTGATTCGAAAGCATCGGATGCTTCCTCCACTGATCCCTCCTCCTGAAAAACTCTCCGGTATGTCCCCTCGCCATTTTTCGCTGTTACGGCTTCGCTGCTTCTCGTTCTTTCCGTCGTCGCCAGCTACTCGAGACAGTTCCTTCATTTCAGATCATTTATAGTGTCCTTTGTTTGGGTGAACTTGGGCTTTACCGTGGGCTAGGCCCAAATGGGGTCCTGTGTTTTGTTGAACGGATTGTTTTTAGTTAAATAATACTTTTAATTCTCTTACTTTATATAATATTTTAATTTAATTTTTTAATTTTTTAAAATATTTTTTAATCCTTTAATATTAATATTTTTATTTTTAAATAATTATTTTTTTATGTTAATCATTTTTATTTTTAAAAAAATTAAAATTTAATATGTTAATATATGATAATGTTTTATCAATATTTAAAAGTTTAATGTAAAAATTTATTGAAGTGAAACTAACAGTATTAATATTATAGGATTAAAAAAATATTTTATAAAATTTATAGACTAAAATAAAATGTTGTATAAAGTTAAAAAATTAAATGTATACTTAACTGTTTATTTTATTTTATTTTTTTGAGTGAAGTTTTAGAAGTTTGACTGTTTGGGTTTTGATAAATGGATTTTTGAGACGGAATAAAACTCACGTTTTTAACATATCATACATTTTCTTTAAGTAACCAAGTGAGAAAAACAAAACAAAACGAATAATTTGGAGAAAGGAAACTAAAGGCTTTTAATGTCCATGATTATGAATTTCTTCGATAAATTATGGATAAAAATATAAATTATGAATCATGATAGGGATTTAAGATAGCCACTGGCTTCATTGTTTGGCGTAGCACAGGGATGATTCCTGATAGAGAGAATATGATTGTATGTGGATGAGAGAGAGTGAGGGAAGAAGACAAATTGTTGGAGCCATGTTTTGAACCACAAAATTGAGGTTGGCCCCAACTCAACAAGTAGACCACAAACTACAAAGTGAAGAGAGGAATATCCTCGGCACTCTAGTCCCGGCTTGGAAACATGAAATCAATAAGAGAAGAGAATCCTTTGAGTTGAGAAAAATCGTCCAAGAGCTAATATGGCGTCCATTTCGTGCTTCTGTGCTTTGCAGAGGCGACCTACCCTCTGCTACTTGCTAGCTTCTCCCAACGACAGAGGTCAGTGTTTGACATTTTGCTGTTTGATTATTTATATTGAAATATATTTGTATTCTTATTTGTATTTTAAATATTATAATATCTTAATTGGGTGATCTTTCATTTGGGGGGAAGAAATTGCCAATGCTGAATGTTGAGGTTAGAAGTCCAAAACTGGTCAAAAATAGACTTGTGAATAATATGCCCAGAGTTAGCTAAATACATTATCCCTTTTTTATAGAACTACCATCTAATGTTAAATGCCGTTAAATTAGATTCATGTATTATTACATTGAATAGGATATAATTCTCTCAACACGATTCTCGTGCACATGACATATGACATCTATAAAAATTTTGAAGGGAAATTTGAGTAATGATCTATTAAGTATGAATATCCTCAATTCGTCCTCCGATGGCTTCATATTTGCTTAGAGTTCGCTCCTAGAAGTATAGTCCTCCCTACCCCCTCACATCAATCCCACGAGCCGCGATCTCAATTCTCATTCCATTGCAGTAGGGGAGCAAGTCAAAATAGAAAAAGTCGCGTTGGGTTTAGAGACAATTAAACTCAAACTAATGACTTCCATCTTATCAAAGAGACACTCTACTGTTAAGTTATATCCCTTTCCTTGCCCCTTCCCCCTCCCTCCATCTCTTTCGCGTTGAATCATCAAAGGTAGCCGTAGGCTCTGTATTTGACTCATCCACGGGCATTCCTCTCTTCAGTGGCCATAACGGACACAGTGTAAACAAATTGGATTCATTTCTGAATATTCAATATCCAAAACTCAGTCTCATAGTAATGTAGTAACTTGGATTCTCAACAAAGATTCCATTTCTCAGTGAAATTTGTTGTTCTTCAGCTTCATCATTGGATTACAAGACTATGCAACAAGACTTGGTCTCTCATGTTTGCCCCATCAGCATCAGTTCATCCATCCAACAACCCTGTGCTGCTCCTTCAAGAAGACAGTTGACTATTCTCTCCTCTCTCGCTGCCTTTACATTTCCCCCTACTCTTCCATATGCCTTTGCAGGTACTACTTTCTTCTTCTTCCTTTTCTTTTGCATGTTAGTTGTATCTTTTTTTTTAAAAAAAAAAATCATGGTTATTCAATTTCACCCTCAGATTCAGAAGCTGATCGTATCTACACCGATGATGTGAATAAGTTCAAGATAGCCATTCCTCAAGGTGATCCAGCTTAATTTTTCACGGGAAAAAAAACTTGATCTTTGCGTTTCACTTCCCCAAACGACTTGTTTGAGCTGGTTCTGTTTCTCCCTCAGAATGGCAAGTCGGAGCTGGAGAGCCTAATGGATTTAAATCTGTCACTGCTTTCTACCCACAAGAGGATTCAAGTTCCAATGGTATTCTTCTTCTTCTTCTTCTTCGTGGGTCAATGTGCATTTGTATATATTCACTAGCACTAGCAAAGTCTAAATCTGTTGGTCTAATTAGTCAGCATAGTGATCACGGGGCTGGGTCCGGACTTTACTAGGATGGAATCATTTGGCAAAGTGGATGAATTTGCTGAGACTCTGGTTGGTTTCCTCACTTTCGATTTCAGGAATCATCTTGTTTTTTTTTTTTCAGATAAATGTTAAATTATTATTTGTTCATCAAATGCAGGTCAGTGGGCTGGACAGAAGCTGGCAGAGACCTCCCGGTGTGGCGGCTAAGCTCATAGATTGTAAATCTGCTAATGGTAATGCAGCACCACTCCTGCTACTCAGTTCAGATCCTCAGCAATAAATGCGTTATATTTCAAATAAATTGAATTATTCAATTAAAAATCTAACATTTAGTATAATAACAGTCACTCCATGACTGCCAGCAGTCCAAATCCCTATTTCTTTTATTTTATTTTTGGAGATCCTTTGATTCTATGGATGCTCTTTCATGGATGCACATATAATACTGTAAGAAAGAAATAATTTAAAAAAAAAAAGGCGGAAAAGAGTATAAATAAATGAATTTGACCTCAGACACTTACTTTTGTTTGTATTCTCAATCCCAGTGCCTGATCTAAATTGCGTTTCAGGCTTCTATTACATAAATTACTCCCTTCAAAATCCTGGCGAGGCTCGCAGATATCTTTACTCGGCTATCGGGATGGCATCCAATGGTTGGTATAACCGGCTTTATACGGTCACAGGACAGGTATGCCTATCTCCATTTAGTTCATACCATAATCAAAGAGAGTTTTTCTGTGCTAACCCAACCAATTAACATGGGCTCAATCCATTATCACTCTTGCTTCCATGTAGTATGTGGAAGACGACGCCAGCAAATACCGCTCCCAAATTCAAAAGGTGAACTCAGAGTACCACCACACCCCCCCCCCCAAAAAAAAAAAAAAAAAAATTAAAAGTGGCTTTTGGTTTTATTTAGACTCTTCCCTCCAACTTGCAAGTGGCCTTTTGGTTTTATATACTGATGCCCAATCACCACTTTGCTCCTTTGCAGGCGGTCGCGTCATTTAGGTTTATGTGAATTGGTGGTTACCATAGGAAATGCTGCATCTATTACTATCAAATGTCATCTTCTTCATCTCCATCACTTCTTAATTGATTCTATTTTCAATTTTGTGGGAATGGAGAAATTGAAAACTGTATCAGCAGCAGCAGCTAATAACAAGAGCCCTTTTTGTGTTGCATTTTAGTCATTTTTCCTTTCGGGCACCAAAATTTACAATTGCTAGAAATACAAGCACAATACTATCCAACGCAGCATAATATATACAATCTTAATAAAAGGGTAAATTCCTCTTGATGAATCATGAAATTGAACTCCATTCAAATCTTAGGAACTGTTTTTCACCAATACAAAAACTTCTACGTTAAAATAATACCACCTAATCTCTTTAATGCTCACATTAAACTCGCCTAGTTTTGGTTGGAAAAATGCTAAACTAAAATTAAGAGACATCATATATGTAAACACAAGACTTTTGTGTGTGGGAAGGATTATAATATAATAATAAATCGCTAAAATTTCCAGCATTTCCAAATCTGATCTCATAATGTTCAAACTATGGTTGGATTTCGCCAATGTGCAGGCAACGCGCTTGAAGCAGAACAATAAGCACTTCAACGCAGGCAAAATAATGGGACACAAACACTAACGAAGTATACTAATAACAAGTTTACATACAAAGCTGCAAATTCAAGTCAACCAAAGGCTTATTATTAAACGTCCTAGAAAATAAGATGATGCATTCCAGGGTCCAGGGAATGTACCTGCAAGAGTCATATAATTGTAAGCAATTGGAAGGAGCGATTTTTTTTTTTTTTTCGAGAACTCATTTCTTTTAATTTCATTTATACAAAAAAGAACTCCTTCATAGTTCACTTACATCAACATTCTCCATTATCTCATTCTCATTTACAAGGAGAATCAAATCCCAATATATGAGCTAGGTATATGCATAAAATATTAAGAGTGTCAGCCTCAGAGCCTTGGGCTACGCTCATGCTGAATTAAATTGTCAGCCTAGCAAAAATCGTAATAGACATTCTTCCATAAATCCATAAAAAGAATTATGCTTGCCGACCCCGAAATTTCAAGTACTTGAATACTAATCATTGATCATTACAAATAAATGGGATGACTTTTCAAAGAACTCGACGTTTTTCTCCAAATAAGATTTTCAAATTTTTTTTAGGTCACATTCTAGATTTGAAACACTATACCTCTCTACTCACACCCAGCCACCTCACCCTTGCGTACCTTCAAAGTATCAAATCAAATTAGAGACAAATAAAACTCATGTTTACCCTTATACATTTTTCCCTTCTCCCATGGCAGACAAATAAAAACAGAATCCAAATCCTCTTGGAAATATACAAGAGTAAACAAAATACTTTCCAACGTAGTGGAATTTTGCATGGGAAAGCTTAATTATAATTAGAAAAAGGAGGGAAAACTAAGAGCCAAGTTGAAAAGATCCAAAAGGGATGAATTGCATTTCAAAAAACCCAGCATTCTGCCTACCCTAGAAGAACAGAACCCCGATGCATAACGTCATTTTCATATTAATTCACGCGCACCTTAATTCATTATAAAAAGAAAATTACAAATCCACATCTCAATCAAAAAAACAAAAAACAATTACAAAATACTTTCGCACAACGATTGATTAAACCAGAGGAAAACCAACAGACAAGCACATAATACCAAGATTTGATTGATGAGATTTTAGAGTAATTAAACACACCTGAGAGAAGCGGCAAGACACGAGTTCCACATCAGTGAGAAGAATGAACGGAAGAGGAAGAGTGAGAGTGGTGAGAGGAAGGAGAATTTAGCCTATTGTAGACTTGTTCACCGACGAGGTAAATGCCGAAAGCCACGAGGGCGATTCCAAGCCCAGGGGTGGCGTGTCGGAGCTGATTCGAAAGCATCGGATGCTTCCTCCACTGATCCCTTCTCCTGAAAAACTCTCCGGTATGTCCCCTCGCCATTTTTCGCTGTTATGTCTTCGCTGATTCTCGTTCTTTCCGTCGTCGCCGTCTACTCGAGACTAAAGCTGCCGGACGTGGAAGGCCGGGTTTGAAGCCCTATTTAAGTAAAAATTCGAGTTTTAAAAATTATTATTTTTAAAATTAATTGAATTTTACAACATAACTCTCATAAACTTTATAAAAAAGAGCTTAGTCCTAATAATTTTTTAAATTCTATTATATTTTTTTTTTTATGGAACATGTGTTTGAAGTTAAGAGGAACCTGCTTTTTTAAAATCTTAATCCTACATGTATTGCATTATTATTAATTTTAATTTATTTTAAAATTAATTTAATATAATTTAACATATAATATAAAATTTCTAATATTTTTTATTTTATAATTATTATGTTTGTGTATTTATAAAAAAATTATTTTTTAATTAAGATTTAAATTTTTTTACTAAATTTTTAAATGTGTGTTGTTTAATTTCTAAAAGATTATGAGAATTTTAATTTTTTAAATTTTAAAATATTTTAATTAATTCATAGTGTTTAATTTTATTTTAATTTTTTTACTTTTTTCAGAACAGGCTAAGCTTTGAACCATTCAAATAAAGGTATGGCCTAAAAAATGAGTAAAAAATGAGAAATTGAGTTTAAGAGCTCAGGTCCTTATGAGTTGGGCCTTTAAAGGTTAGGTCCATAAGAACTGAGTTCGTTTATTTCCCAACTCTACTCAAGACAATTCCTCATTACAGATCATTTCTACTGTCTTTTGTTTGGTTGAACCTGAGCTTTACAATGGGCTAGGCCCAAATGTGGGTCCTATCATTTCATTGACTTGTTTATTTTTTATTTTTTGAATATAAGGCCACGGTAAAAATATTGTATAAAAGAATTAAAATTAGGTCATATCAAAAGTCAAAATGCTTTTATAATCATTGGGAGCATCATCAGGTAAAGTAGCATTAAAATGGTCGTTAGAAGCCTTGTGAGCAAGGAAATTGGCACAACAATCTGCTTCTCTGTAGACATGTTCTAACATGACCTCTCAATTTTTCATGATAACATTTCTAATGCTTTTGATGATTGATAAGAGTGGATGACTCTAAACTAAGTTAACCTGTTTATTTTATTTTATTTTATTTTAGTTTTTGGAGCAAAGTTTTAAGAGTTTCACGGTTTGGGTTTTCATAAATGAATTTTTGGGACCGAATAAAACTCGTATTTTTAACATATCATACATTTTTTTAAGATAATAAATTTTTTTTAGTTTTTTAATTTTATTTCAATTATTGATTTAGCCTTTAAAATTTAATATTTATCAAATTTTTAAAATTTTAAAATCATATACAATTAATCCTTTTAATTTAAAAGAAAAATAGCATCTTATATCCGACACTGTCAAATCAAATTTTAGGTCTTACTAGAGGTAAAGCATCTTCCATCAAATATTACAATCTCAAGAGCACAGTTCATAGTAGAAAGCAATGCTCTTTAGCCCTATGCATTTACAAAAGCTACATACAATAAAATTAGTCAATGAAGTCGCAATTTATGCTTTGAGCACTACAAGTGGACCAAGCAACACGTTTATTTCTTTTTCTAAAACACGATCAATGGTACTGAACCAATATAAGCATCCAAAATTCTGACATGATCAAAAGAGGTGATCAAAAGAATTGGCTCTCGACATGATTTGAAGCTTCTAACGAGTTCCTGTACACCGGCAATTTTTGAAATTATTTTTTCTCAGCACATTATTGATGTTTTTGTCGGCATTACTAATACCATTATTAATGTTACTTTTTTTCTTTGACCAACATATTATTATGCGTTACATCCCAATGCATACACAATGCTGCCTCTTTTTATGCAATAATATTAACAATTTAATTCTCTAACTTTTTTGGATTGATATGACTCGGGTGATTTTGGTTCTCTACCTGGCAAGTCTCAATGCTCAACCTTTCGTAGAAGACTGTTTTTCAGTATGAAAAATGAAAAATCGTATACCATCTTTTATTTTAATATAATGATATTAATATATTTTATAAATATAAACATGTGATTGTCTAAATCTAAATAATCATACAGTTATCCTATTTGAATCGAAAATTTATAAGATATAGGAAGTTACACCTTTTTTTTTAAGTAACCAAGTGAGAAAAACAAAACAAAACGAATAAAAGAGAAAGGAAACTAAAGGCTTTTAATGTCCATGATTATGAATTTCTTCGATAAATTATGGATCAAAATATAAATTATGAATCAAAAGGTACAATGGAACCGGACCACATAACATTTACAATTGCCCACTCACATTCTTGAAGAATGAGGCATACAAAAATTTTGATGATTTGTCCCAAGAACATGCTTGATGAATCTCCTTCCTTACCTCTTGATCTCCTTTTTCATTGACTTACCACACTCACTAAATAATGTAAAATGCCCAGCATTTTGTGTTCGCACCTGCTTGCAAAAGAATTTGAAAGGTTTGTTCAATAAAGAAAAACTTCTCATAAATTATTAGGCAGATTAATCAAAATAAATAAACTATAAATTTATCAAGTATATGCATATATTGAAAATATGTCAAAAGTGAGCTACATTTAAAAAAGAAAAAAAGAAAGGGGGATGAACCTAAATTTCTCCCAAAGGACAATACTGGTGAAGTTCTCAATTAAAAATAGAACGTATAATTTTTAAATAATTATTATGAGGTGCTAAATTGTAACAAAAAAATATAGGATATATCCATATGTAACAATTTTATTAAAAAAAATATTATCATAGCATCTTCAAAATTATATCTAAATTCCTTAAAAATTATAAGCACCTAAACTTTCTTATTACTAAATATATATAAATTTTGTCCTCGAGTAGATTGAATAAGATTTTCTCAACTTTCTATGATAAAAGAAAAGGCTTTAGGGATGGTGGAAAATTAAAGCTTAGCTCCAGATAAAAGCCGTAAAATAAGAACATCAAGAAGCTACCTTTACTCTTCTCCGCTTGCAATTGTTCCAACATATAAGTCCTATGCAACCTCCAGCTCCGGAACCTGACTCATATCCCCTACAGGGTGAAAAAAAGAAGCAGTGAGCAGAATATACCTGAGAATCTGTCATTGCCACGATGTAACGCATTTAACATTCATGATATTTGTCAATTTTTTTTAGTATTACTAAACTAACGTAGCAAGCTAGAGGTTGGAGGAGCTGCAAAAAGATAGCGCAATATCTCTGGCACATCCTGTGTGAAGAAGTCATTCCATGAACCAAGTGTGAACCCAGATGCAAGAAATTATGTCAGACTGCTGAACTAGATTATAGTTATTATAAGAGTTCTTTTTTCTATGTGATTATAATAGAAAAAGGCAGTTAATTGTGACTACCAAGCAGCTGTAAATTAATAAATGCCTGATTATCAAGCTTAAGTATTAGTTTGAAAGTTATATTAGTTTTCAAAAGCACAAAATCTAGTATTTCTTCTATTTTTATTTTGTTGCCTCACAGAGCAAAAGTTTAAATAAAAAACCTCTTAAAACTAACCAAATCTTTCACTTGTCGGCCCCCAAGTAGCGGCTTACAAAGATTATTATTTCAAACATATAAAATGAAAGCCCAAGCGTGCATTCATTGGAATATGAGCCTTCCGATAATTTCACACCAGTAATTTTGGAGTCAACTATTTTCCAAGGGGCCTCTTCAAAATGTATAATTCATTATCCCGATAATGGGTTCAACAACGAGAGCAATTATTTCCTTCAGTAAATAAGACAGTTTGACAAAATAATAAAAGTATGGTTCTGATATTTTGGTTGCCAACACTGTTCAAGAAACAAATTAAGTCAACTATTTCATCCATATTTACTTTGTGCCAAGCAGATATCACACAGTAGAATGCATTAAAAATAAATACAAACATTATGCCACTCTGCAAAACAAATATTGACAGTAAAGCAACCCCAGGGTTTACCATTTTCATGCAATTTGTTGAGGGCAGTATTCATGTAACAGCAATATTCTATTTTGAACTGTCCCCCACCACCGCCATAAAATCTTTTTCCTTGCCAAAAAATCAATAATTTTCCATGGACTATACAATTAAATTCCATCTTTCACAACATGAATTCCTAATCATATGTAAAAGATAAGGACATTCAAAAGTTGTGGAAATTAAGGACTTACAGATTGTCTTTGCTGGAATTCTTTGCTAAACTGCTACCGTGCAATAAACTTGGGGACATGGGGCATCGGGCTCCATTTTGTAGGATCCTTCCATGTTTAACTTTCAAAACTTTGACTTCATGATGAAGGTCATCTTCCCGATGCTGAGAGGAAAACCTTGTTGAATCAATGGACTCTATTAGGTCTTTACAGATAACATTTTCCTGAGGCAGGACCTGATTCTTCTCAGGTCTTGCATGACTCAATGATCCTGGTGAACCTTTTTCTACAGCCTGTAGCCAAGCAGTTTCCAGCCTCTGCTCACGTATAATAGATTCAACTCTTTGTGCAGGAATTACCTGTTCATCCTCTCTCACACCGGTTCTCTCAGCCATAGAATCTGATGAACCAATGACAGCTTGCAAGTTTTCATCCAGCAAAGGAGGAAAGCGAGAATGACTACCCTTTTCATTTGTATGGCTTCCTTTTCTTAACTTCTCACTTCCCATTGTTGATCCTGCCTGTCTGATATCAGTTAAATTTTCACCTTCATCATCAAGCAAGTGAATAATTCTAACCTCCACGTTGCACCTGAGTACCATTTCCATTGAATTTGTAATACTACTCAAAAACCTTTCAGCCCTAATTTTAATATCTCTGTCTCCAAATGCAACATATGCAACCAGAAAACCTGCAAGAAGAATTATATTAACAGAGTTTCTATAAATATGTGATGAAATTGGAATAAGGTGATAAAAAGTACTAGCAAATTGAAAAACAGAAAGAACGGAGATCTGCACAAACACAAGAAAGAATGGAATTTGCAGATGAGATTAAACGCATTGGGTCTCGAGTTACAAATATGATTTAATACCATTAAGCCATCCATACTAATGTGTAACCGAATGTCAAGCTATTGGCTGTTGTAGAGTTTGAATTAATACCATGGTTACAATAATCATCTGGTATCAAGCTGCACAAGGGTGAAAAACCAAAATATCTAGTTGTGCTGAAAAACCTTATCAGCTCACCTTCAACTTCACAAATAGATACTAGTTTTCCATGATTGTGAAGCAGCTGCCTCAATGTCTTAGAGTGACACCTCCCTATACAACTAGCCCAGATATCATGTAATTTCCCTGAATTTACACATCTTAACATCATATTCCCAATAATAAGATCATCAGATGAAGCAGGTGTTGCATCATCATCTCCTAGAACAGGACTACTTGATGGCTTTGAACTCAAGCTGAAACCATCTGATTTAGACGACACATCCCTTTGATGTCTGGAATTGCCATTCACAGGTCGCTGCTGTGATGTAGGGGATGTTGACATTCGAGAAATATATCTGACATCTGAACTATGCTTCGGAACAGTAACCTCTCTTGAAGCACTTGATGGATCATATTCAGAAGTCTTGCAGCTCTGTCTCCTGCTGCTGCCTGACTGGATAAGATCTGGTGAAGGCATTGAACCAAGCTGTAACAGAGTGGCTGTGAACCATGTTGAGCGTTCACTAGAAGTCCTGAACTGTTTCTCAGCCTCTGAGAGCAGCTTCAAAGCATGCTTTAACCTCCACAACTCTGATTCATTCACTAAGCATGAAACCCAAGCGTGCATCTCAATAATTAGACAAGTATGTTACTGCCCCCATGAATATAACACATAAAGACAATCAAGGGGGATGCAGAGCACCCCTGAATCTAATAATAGAACGAGGGGCTAAAAATATCAAGAACCAGGATCCCTTTCTCCAAAAATGCAAGCCTAAGCTCAAAAGAGAAAAGCAAGAACCAGGAAATAGACTTGGATAGCTTCGTAATAATATTCACTCAATCACATAACCTTTTTTCCCTACATTTCCAATTATGTAAAAATGGAAAAAAAATTATAGCTGACAATTGTGAAGTTTCATCAAATAGAAAGTAAATGAACATTAAAATATGCAATTGAGAATGTGGGCATGGATTACTCAATCTAGAGGATGAATCAGTAAAATAGAACACTAAAAGTAACCAAAGAAAAAGAAGGCAGAAGCATCATATCATCTAAACTACTGATGGTATATTTACCAGGGCAAAACCTACATTAAAGAAGCTCGTGAGTTGTGACCTAAAAGTTCCATAAGGCAACATTATAAATGCCAAAATTAAGATAAGGGAAGAGGATAAAACTCATTTAAAAGTTTTAAAAGAGATTGCACTCACAACTTCGTGCACCAAAACACGAATCACTAGGTTTGGTATCAATGACAGCATATGATCCTGCAATGATGTCCATAATGAGGCATGCCATTTGTGATATCAAAGCCATTGGATCAGCCACGGAATCTATCACTTCTCTGGCTCTCTTCACTGTTTCTGTGGTATCTGATGACATTGCTAACTCCAACAGCTCTAGTAATTTTTCATCCGAGATAACACCCACCTGTTGCAGAAAACAAATCAGCATTAATTTTGAATGATGCACATGTGACAAACAAAATTTCATTAAACTGAAGAAGAATGCTTCAGTATTTCAGATTACGTCATAAAGTGATGGTCACATAAAACTCACAAGTTCATTGACAAGTGATGTAGTTATTCTCTTCCCCAACAAACTCAGTTGTTCTAACATAGTTTCTGCATCTTGAAGTGAACCATCTGCATTCATAGCAATAAGGTCCAGTGCATCTTTTTCAACATCCAGGTTCTCCTCAGCAGATAGTGTCGTCAATCTGGCCACAATATCAGCATCTTTAATTTTGTTAAAAAGGTACTTCTGGCTTCGAGATTGTATTGTTAGTGGTACATTGTCAAGATCAGTTGTTATAAGTATGAATACAACTCGATTAGGTGGTTCTTCCAGAAACTTCAGAAATGCCAGCCATGTCTTAGAAGGAAGCAAGTGACACTCATCTATCACAAATACGTTGTATCGTGAGGGTGTTGACGGTGATCCTGCTGATGGTCTTTTCAATAGATATCTAACACTATCAATCCCTTTCTTATTGGTGCCATCAACTTCCAAGAAATCCCTACTCTTGCCAGAATTGAGATCAGTGCAATTCCTGCAGTATCCACAAGGCTTATTTACATCTGGAGCCATACAATTCAGGGCAGCAGCAAAAATTCTGGCCGTAGAAGTTTTACCGATACCACGAGGACCTTGGAAAAGATAAACAGGAGCAATTCTATTCCTTGAAATAGCATTCATAAGTGACTGAACCACAATATTCTGGCCAATCAAGTCACCAAAGGAAATAGGCTTATACTTCTGACTGAAACTCCTAGCATTTTCTAGTGTGCCTTCCTCATCCCCTTCCCCATCTACAGCCACAATCCCCAAACCATCCTGACTCCTACAACTTGATGACCATCTCCTTCCATCTAACCTACTTAAACCCTCAAGATAAAGTTCCCCTAAGTTTGTGGAAAGTTCATCATCACTCCTCCCACTTCCTACAGATGACCCTCCTCTAACATCACCACTGCTGGGGAGCAATGGGAGAACACCCTGAGCAATCCTTGAAGAAACCCTCCACTTGTTAGAGCTTGATAAGGACCTTCGGTGTCTTGTATAGATACTTTTACTTCCACAGAATAAGCTACTTCCTTTCCTCCTCAAAGTCTCAGAAAGAGAAGGAGAATAACAACTCCTACACATCCCCCTATGTTTTGGAGTCCTCTTGGACCAACAGCAAGGAATACCGCATCCCCTCTGGCCAGGAAAATTCAAATGATCGTCTACCTCATCATCACCATCATTCAATGAGCTTGCTGTGGCTTCCCAGGATCCAACAGTACTTGAATTATGGTGACCATACCTATTATGGGAGCAGGTTGATAACGCAGGAGTGCTATAAGTATAATAAGAGTCCTCAGTTCGGCTACTTCTCAGTAACTTTGAGGAAGAACGAGACCAATTGCTACGCTTGAGTTTCAACAGCAAACGAGATGACCCTAAAATTCGACTTAAATCCTCAGAATTGCTGTAATCTTCAGTGTCATCAGACTGTTCAACTGAGTCCTCCGGGAATATCTTGGAATTTACAAACTTCCTACCCAGATTGGTTTCTGGTTGCCGATATCTTGACAAATTATTCAAGTATCTGTTGGTTTTCTTACTCTTTCTCCTGATACTGCCCATTTTTCTTCTGGCCGAAGAAACACGATTAGCATCTGTACACCGAAAAATAGAAGAACGTCTCCCAACTCGCAAGTGAGAGTCGCTCTTCGAATCGCAACCTCGAGCATCGCTCAAGGTATCCTCGAAACTTCCCAGAAGAGATGAAGAAGACGTATCGTTGCCGGTGCCACCAGCAGCATCCTCATCATCACCATCATCTTCTTCCTCTACGTTGTCGTTTTTTGCCAGTCCACTCTTGTTGTCGCCTGATGATTTGTGATTCTTCCAGTTGTACAAGAACACATTCTCTTTTCCACTGTAGAAATTGCTCTTCCATGCAGAAGCAGAAGCAGCAGTAACGGATCTTGAGGAACTTAGAGGTGACTTCCAGGACGACGTCGTACCAGGATCCCTCAACACACGAGCAGCTTTACGAATTTGAGTGAGGTCCTTCTTCTTCAGGTGAAGCTTGCTAGGATCAGAAACCCAACATTCAGACATGTTTAGCAACTTGGAAGCTTCAAACTCGAACCAACGCCTCAGAATCAAAAAGAAGCAAGACTGAATTCCATGTATTTACAGAACAAAATATAAATTTTCACACAGAGGATTAACGATCAGACCAAAAAGCAAAAAGGGATAGAAATGATGACAGAATGGAAGGTGTTGGAATAGCAAATGAGGTATAGGAACTTGTGACAGCAGATCTGTGAGGAGTAGCTGAACCTGTGTCTGTCTCTTTCTCTTTGTCTGTTTGTTAGGGTTGTATTTGGCGCCCCAATTGAATTCTTGAATCGGTGACACTGTTGTGAGTTGTGACTGTGAGAGAGTGGGAGATTCTCTGTGCTTTTGCTTGATTTCGGTGACATTGAACTCATTCAAAGCCCGTCCATGAAAATGAAGGGAAAGTGACTTCTTGTGAATTCGAGTTATCTGTTGATAACAATAGTGGAGGGATTAATATATAATATAATATTTAATTTCCAACTATATTTATAACTGTTGAAATCTATATTTATAATTTTTTATAATATAATTTTTTGAAACTGAACTTTTATCAAATTGGTTGATAATTGATATGTCATAACCCAAGCATCATTAATGATTAATCAACATCAAAATCTAAATCAAATTAAACTAAAAAGCAAAGCATGTTAACTGTGTGTATAACTGTATTTGCAGTTTAGGCTTTGAAGCTTTTTTTTAAGACCAAAAAATGAGTTTGGTTTTTTTCTAAAGTTTTTTCAATTATTTAAAGCCGATTCAGACGGGTTTTTCTTTTCTTTTTTTGTTTGGCGTGTGGTTGCATGTATTTATTTAATTTTTATTAAAAACAATTTCATTCGACATATTTTTTCCTAATAAGAATTTGAGTTAAACACAATCCGGGCTAGTGGGGCTTTATATGTTATCTTCAGGGGATTTCATCATGCTTTAGAAGCTCCAAGCCTACAACTTTTGACTTTCTTGCCAATGTCACTACGTTCTTGCATTATTTATTGGGCGTGTTGGTTGATTTAATTCGAACAGTGCGGATATAAAAATTCTTCCATTTGGTTGTTTTGATTTTTCTATTCCATGCTTTGTTTTGGAAAAATCATAATCAAGGACCAGTGAAGATAATTAATTGCTCCCCAAGATCAAATGATTTTGAGATTATTCTACATGATCAAATGGCCTAAATATAATTAAAATTTATAGTGAAAAAATAAAACTACTCTTGATATATAGTTGTTGTGATTAAAAAATTTATTATTATTAAAATAAAAATAAAATTTATTTTTTTCTCAAATGTAGACTTGGTTACTAGATAATAACAATTTATCTCTACTAAGTAAATATTTTGTGGTTAGTAATAAAGGAATTAATTATTGTTAAATAAAAATGTGATTTATTCATCAAATTATAATACTTGTTTTTCTCCATTATCAAATTAATTTTTTGAAGTTATAAGTAGAAGAATTAATTGTTGTTAAAAAAATTAGACCTTTTTTTATTGGAATAGGGATTTATTCACTAAATAATAATACTTATTCCTTTTTACCATCATGTCAATTTTTTAAAATTATTAATTAAGGAATTGATTGTTGTTAAAATAAAAAAAATTAAATAAAAATAGAGAGTTATTGTTAAAAGAATATATATATATACATATATGAGAGGAAGTTTTATCTTTTCATAACAAATTCAATTTTGGTCATTTGGCCCTGCAATATAACGTCATAATTATTTAATCATGGAACATAATTAATTATCTCCAATTGTCCTTAATTGTAATTTTTCTCTTTTATTTTAAAAAAATTAGTCGTTGGAAATGATGGCCCACTTAAAAGTGCGGGTGCAAGAAGTTATGATTCGGAATGCAAGAAGAGAGAACAGTATTTAACTATTTATGAATTATTATAAATAAACTATGCATTGTATATTTCTTTTAAAAATATATATATTTGCGTAACTCTTGTGTATCCCCATACATTTTGTTGCGTTTTGTTCGCTTTTTAAATACTCTTTTTTCACATTTTAACGGGGTTTAAACTTTAAAAACAAGAGTATAATATTAAAAAAAACTTTTAAATTATTATCCTCAGACAAACAACAAATTTGTCCATGTTAAACATATATATATATATATATATAATGCCTCGTCTTCAATTCAGGCTGCACTCTTATAACACAGGAGTTTCATAATCTTTGTGTATAACTGTATATAGTATAATGTAAAAATTTTAATAAATCGCACTATTTGTATAACATAAATAATATGATGTAGTATATAACTAACATGTTAGGCCTTATCTCAGCAGCGTTAGGCATAACAGTGATTATGACAAGGCAACTGAGTTTTTTTTTTTTTTTTGAGTAAAAGGCAACTGAGTTTTTATTTGTCAATATCAAGGAAGGACTTTTTGAAAATGCGTGTGCTTTTGAAAATGAGGTAACCCCAACTCTGCTTTTGACGAGTGATCGCCCGAATTTTTGACAGATTAAGGGGTAATAAAATTGTTATCATAACACACTCGAAACAAAATAGATAATTTTTATTATAAGTCATTTGGTAAAATATTAATTAAATTTTTTAATATTATTTTTATTTAAAGTCATTCACTATAAGAGAGAATGTATTATAAATAAGTAAATGTTTTGTTTAAATATGAGTAAAATCATAAATTTATTTTATTTTTAAATAAAGTTAATGATTTAAACATATTTTATTGATTCTTGGCGAAATGACTAAAGGTGTCTTGTAATAAAACATGTAACACACCAAATTTTTTTTTAAATAATTTAACTCAATCATAGTTGGGTTACAGCCACCCAACACATTTTTATATCAATAATTTCGATATAAAATATTTTATAATTGGCTTCAACTCACACACTATAATATTTCAGATAAATTTTTACCTCCCACATGCCATTAGGCTAAATCACATTTGTCCATCCTTATACTCCCAACAAGTAAACTAAATCACATTTGTCCATCCTTATACTCCCAACAAGTAAAATAAGCAATTTAGTCAATTTTCAACACAAGCCAGTTATTTGGTCTTATAATCATGCCATTTTAACCAATCCAAAGTAAACCAAATATTAAAATTACAGTCATCCAAATTGTACCAAAAATAGAAATAGTTTGAAAAGCATGATTACATTTATATATTCATATAATTGACAATAAATAAAAAGCCCTAATATTGGCAATATAACACATTATAAATCATAAATTAAATACCCAAAAGAGACAGTGGATTTATACCACTAAGCCTCTGGGACTCCTCCACGTGTCACTCGTGGCTCTTCTCCTGAAAATTGTTAACCACATAATGAGACTCAAAAATCCCAGTAACCAAAGCCAATTTATGATAGTGTATACAAACAGTTAAGTGTGTGCTTACTAAGTGAGAATTAAAAATAATATAATTCCAACAAATATAAGAAATATTATAATAAACACAAACAACCATCCTTATATCCCTCCATTAACCTCGAGCCGTAGCCCTCACTCGGTGCTAAATTACCCGGCCAAAGGTAGATTAGCCCGAGCCCTTACAAGCCACCTATTGAGCTCCAATAGGGGCGTACCACGTGGCACATAAATACAACAATAATAGCAAGTCTCCCAACACCTCCCACAATAATTAAACAAATTTATAATAATATTGCACAATTATACAATATTATAAAAATTCATAATTTTCTCAATAATCACCTAATTAACATGAAGTAACACTAATCACAAATTAAAAGCATGGTTACCTTGTGGCTTTTTCAATAAATTATTCTTAAAATTTCTCTCTCACCACAATCTTCACCAGTAATACAATCTACAAATAACATATTATTTATAAATATTAGTTTCAATTTTTGAAACTAATAAAATAATTCTAATAATAGAATTAAAAATATAACATAATTTCTAATCTCAATCTTAATACAAATCTATAGTTAATACTATTAAGTAAAATTTTTAACTCCTCTTTTAATTATCAATAAACATTAATAATCTAAAAATCAACTTTTAAACTAATTTCTGTTATCAAAATTTTTTTTTTATTTCATAAATTCGTACCTAAAATATCCAAAAATTAAAAATTGAGTCTCTAGCTTAGAATCATAATCCTATAACCATAATAATTCACTTTTCGTCCCAAATAATCATCTAAACCTCAATAAATCAACATATATTTTTAGATCTAGTTTAGAATTTGATCCATAAGCCACAAATTCAAAGATCACCAATAAATTTATACTCTAGAATATTTATTATACTACTAACAACCTTAAAAACCATATTTATTCAACATAAATTCATCCCTCTTCTAGATCTTAAATTTTCTACCACTACAAACTCAGAAACCAAAGAAGAAGGATGACTAAGAAAAAATTTTAGAACACTTACTTAGTCTTGAAAAGCTTAAAATCACACCCTAAATATCCTATTAAAAACTCTTACCTTAAAAATTTAGATATTTTGCACCGGCGACTCGCTTCTCTCCGCCTCAGCTCGCGCGCAGGAAAAGAATTGCAGAAATGAAAGGAAACGGATGAGTTTTATAAAAATTCAGTGGGTCCCACATATTTTTTTTATTCTTTTCTCTCTCTTCTTTCTTCTTCTTCTTTTTTTTTATTATTTTTCTTTACTATTGTTACTATTGAGGCGGCGGCACGTTTTCTTCCCTTTTTTTTCAAACCTTTTCCTTTTTTTTATTATAATAATAATTTAATAATATATTTTTTTTATTTTTTTTATTTTTTTAAATTTTTTTTATTTAATTAATTTTTTTTAGAATTATATCCTAAATTAGATTTAATAATCATCTCTTACTAATTTTCTTACCTCTAAATATTATTTTTTTATTTCTATTAATCCAAATTAACTATTAAAATTTAAATTGGGATGTTACAAAATAAGTGGTATAATCATATATAATTTGTTAATGCCCATAATTTATGAATTTATGAATTATAAATATATCCGAATACACTATAGTTTATGTTTTGACTTTCGACCATTTCAAAATTTATAAAACAAAAGGAAATATCAAGTTAGTTCACATCAGATAAGTTTAGTTAGTGACTTTCTCAAGGATTAGATCCCAAGTATAGCGATCGTGAGCACATTCCACAATTATGTCTGGATCATGATTTTGTTTGGGTGGAATGTAATGCACTTAGTTCTCTTTAGGCAAGATTAAATATTCAAATTAGGGAAAAAAATCAATTAGAAAAACTAGCCAATCAATTGCTCAATTGATTTTTTGTAAATTAAAAGTTAGTTTGTCAAAAATTTATTTAATAAAAATTAATGTCACAAAAATAAATTGTTACATAATGAAATTTTTATTTAAATATTTTTTTAAAATTT